AAACACAAAATTTAAAAGTTCGAAATATTAACATATCAATGAATATGAAAAAATCAAAAATGGAATATTGAAATAAGGTTATGAGCATGTTGGGTGCAAGTATCAGATAGGAGTGTTAGATTTTTCGGAAGGTTTTTTCATGTACTCAAGGGATTTGGGGTAGCATATTAGTCATATCCCCATATCTATATCTAATATATAGTGGAAAATTTTATATATATATATATATATATATATATATATATATATATATATATATATAATAAATAAACTTAATCGGGTACTCGGGTAACCCGGTACCCAAAAAATCAATTTTTGTGACCTAGGCCCGATCCGGAAAGTGTTGGGTCGGGTACCCGACTTAGCCGGGTAATTTTTTGAAAAAATACCCGGTTTTTAGATTTGGGTTGGCGGGTCGTGTAACATCCTCAATACCGGGTTAGTGACTAAATTGGAAAGTTTCAAATTTTGGTGATTAAAATAAATGAATGAATAGTATAAGGATTTATATGTAAATGATTGTGTAGGATTTAATTGAAAAAGAAGGAATGGAAGGGCCAAAGAGTCATTTGCAAGGAAAATTAATTAAAGAATGGATAAGGATATATGAGTACAAGTGGGTTGAAAAGAGAGAACAACAAAGGCTTCCAGAGTTCTCGTCTTCTTCTTCTTCTTCTTTCTTCTTTGTGTGTGAACCAAAGCAAGGTAAGATTTCTGATTATTGAGTTTCTTGTTAAATTTAATATTGGGTTTTGATTATTAGATGATAACTAAGCTTAAGGAAAGCTTAAGTTATCTTAACATCAAAGGATGATTGAGTTAGGAGAGATTTAAGATTTGAAGTTCTTAAATGAAATCTTGGAATAGAGTTCATAACTAGAATTGAAAGTTATATTTGACTTGTCATCAATCTAGTTAAGATATACGAAGTGTTATAAGCGGAATTCAAACATGTTGATTTATTAATGTAATTCTTGAATTACATATGAAGGATAGGATTTGAAGGTTAAGATGAAATAAATGAGTATAAATTGGTTTAAGGATGTGTACTAGAGTTAAGAATGAAAAAGAGGATTAAACATGAAGGATTTAATCCAAAATGAAAGAATTTTCGGGTTCAAAAAGAGGATTATGGGCAGAGTGCATCGATGCACATTCATAGTGCATCGATGCATCAAGGTTAAAACCCAGAAATTGTTTGAAGGTGTATCGATGCATTGGTAGTGCATCGATGCACTCTTTCAAAATAAAACATCGAATGCAATTCATGCATCGATGCATAAGTAGTGCATCGATGCATCCCATTAATAATGAAACATCGAATGCAATTGGTGCATCGATGCATAAGGAGTGCATCGATGCATCCCAGCAATAATAATACATCGAATACCTTTTATGCACCGATGCATCAGTAGTGCATCGATGCATACCTTCATTAAAAGATGAAATTGACTTTTCTCTTAGTCTAAAAAGTGAACCATTAGAGTATATTAGTTATAATACTGATATAAATCCATATGTGATTATGTAGATACTAAAAGTAAACTTATTCCGGAACGATCAAAGGATTAGAATCGAATCAAAGCAAAGCTAAGGTGAGTGCATACTATATGTATATTATAATGGAATAAGACTTGTGATAAGTCTAATCCCTATGTTGATTTTATAATACAGTAGTTGTGAACATGCATACATGATAATTATTGACACATGCATAAGACATATATGTTCATGTGATATGATATGTGATATGACATGTGATATGAGAACATGATATGAATGATATGAGATACATGATCACAAGAGAAATGTATGAGTACATGAACATATGGAATAATAATAATGCCCATAATATACGATATGAGAACTATAGGTGTAATTGGCATGCCAAGAGTCGAGGGTATAATAGTCCTTCGGGATGTAGGGGTCATACGAGACATAGATAATAGTCCTACGGGACGAATACTGAACTAAGGTTCGGTGCCCCATGAGGGAATTGATACGAGCTGTGGTGACAGCATTAGTGCACAACCTCAATGTACTCACATACCTCTATTCTCAATAATATACATGGGCTATGCAATTGAAATACCGATTTACAGTGAAAGTGATACAAGAAGATAAGTTTCGTATGTGCATTATATGTTATCGTGCAATAGATACATGCATATTGAAATGTCATGATCTAATTGTAAGTATGAACATTCATAAGTTTATTGTTGCATATTCATTTATTGCCTCACTAAGTCTATGACTTAGCGTGTAAGTGATTTACACGTAGGTACCAAGAATCAGGAAAAGTGGAAATAGAAGTAGCACGGACAGCAATACTACTAAGAGATCATATCATAAGTAATTGACAAAGTATGTACTTGGTTATGTATAGAATGTTGGCATGTAATAAGTGTTAATTACGAATACTCTGATCGATTTTGTATTTTATGGTCTTATGTAAATTAATGTATTTCGTTTTAATGAAAGTTTTAAAAATTCCCGAGATTTTCTATAAGAGTCAAAGTTTAAAAAGTCAATGTGACACCTCAAACTTGTATTCGGGTTGGATATGAGTTAAGGGTGTTACAGGTCGGATCAATCCAGTCGGATATTTTTACACACCCCTCGTGGAGAATAGAGAAAAGAGGGCAAAAGCTAAAATTTGTTCCATCATCATTTTAGGGGGCAAATAGAGAATTTAAATATCATTACGTACAGAAAATAAAATAATTAAAAAGGCCCTCTTTTTTGAAAATTTTCCTTTCCGCCACCTTTTTCTAAATGAGTATAAGTGTTATAGAAGAATACTCGGTCCCTAAACTTGAGAATATTTGATAAAATGGTCCTTAATTTTTTCTAATAAGTTTGAAATTCATTAAAAACAGTAAAAACTGCGCATGTCATATACAGCACGCTATGCATATAGCCTGTTACATGTAAAAAAATATTCTACGGTAAATTACATATTTAGTCACCAAGTATTCTTGTTGTTTTGTATTGTTCACCTAACTATTTTTTTAGATGATACTTAAAGTTATATTTTTATTCCGTTTTGCTCATCTGCCATTAAAAATAAACAGAACTATTGATGAGCAAATTTTTTTTTTTTAAATGATGTGGCATTACCTTATGATGACCCATCAATATCACCGATAATTTTAATGATAAGTGTCCAAAATGGAACCAAAACATAACTTTAAGTATATTTTTGAAAAAAATATAGTTCGCTGACCAAAATAGAACAACAAGAATAGTTGAATGACTAAATATATAGTTTACTCAAAAATCTATACACCACAACACTACAATCACCTATAAAAATTATAAATTTAATATTAAAAATAAAATACTATAAAAATTCAATTTTTTTATTAATTATTAGAAATTATAAAATTATTAAATATAAATATAAAAAAATAATTTAATATTTTATAGGGTAAATTACACGTTAAGTATCTAAATTATGAGTTTTGATCAGTTTTAGTACCCTGCCGTTAAAAAACTAATGACACAGTTGACGTCATAAAAAATATTTAATTTTAATTTAATATTTATATAAATTAAATATATAATTTGGGAATTTAAAACTTATAAATTGCCTAGCTTAGATGGTTTAGTGCTTGACTTACCTCTAAGAGAGTTGGGTTTGAATATATGCAGAAACATTTCTCTCTTAGGGATATTTTCCCTTAGTTTTGTTCTAATAAGTTGGTGATTAAAAAAAGTTGTCACGTCAGCTGTGCCGTTAACGGCGGTGTAAAAAACCTAAAGTTAAATATTTTTTTTTAAAATTAAAAGTTTAGGTATTAAAATGGATTAAAACTGATAGTTTAGGTACTAATTGCATAATTTACCCTTTCTATAACATATTGAAAATTTGAATACTTTCATTAAAAAGTATTTATTTGTCTTTGGTCAGCTTGAGTCTAATATTGTTTCTGGAGCATATTTTTAGTAGAATCAACCCTGTAGTAAAGTAAAAATACAACTCAAATTCTCCTCTACACCAAATATTAATGAACATCAATTTCACTGAAAATATATTCAATGAATAACAGAAGACTCTGACTATTGAGAAGATAACCGAATTAACCTTTAAATATAATTATATTAAGAGGCCCAATCCATTTAAAATCCATTTAAAACCCAAATCAATATTAATTAATTAAAATAATATTAAAATTAAATTCAAAATGTTTGAATCAAATTAATTAGATATTATTTAAATTAATTGTAAATTGTTTTTTTAATTAAAAAAATATTAAATTCTAAAATTCTAAAAAATTTCGGTTAATTCGAAAATTAACCGAATTAACCGAAATTTATTCGGTTCGGTTAATATTTTTGAAAAAAAGTTCGGTTCGGTTAACGGTTAAAGAAAAAAAAAGTTCGGTTAATTTGAAAATGGTAGTTCGGTCGGTTCGGCCACCGAATTAACCGAATGAACACCCCTAGTCGAAAGACATTCGAAGAATTTTCTAATGAAAACATTTATTTTAACACCTTATAAATATATTTAAATTTAATTTTTTATATTTATAATTTATTATTTTATAATTTCTTTAATTGGTTATTTTATAATTTTTTTAATTTTACTTAAAATTTTAATTTTTTATAGTGTTTTATTTTTAATATATTTATAAAAATTCTAATAATTTCTTTATTAAAGTTTTTAAATAAAGATAAAATAAACTATCAATTTTAAATTAAAATCAATTTTTCTTTCAAATTCAATAAAAAATGAAACAAAGACTGGAAAAAATGCAACAGCTAGCGAGCCCGTCCGTTAAGTTTTAAATGACGGGTACTAAAATGAAATAAAGACTAAACGTGAGGCATGGTTTTGAAAAAATTAAAAATTAGGTACTAAAACAGACAAAACAGATAGTTTAAGTACTAATCACGTTGTTTACCCTTAAATTTATAAGTCAGAATTTAAAGACTAAATTAGAAAAGTTGTAAAAATTAGTGACTATTTATTACTTTTATCCTTTTACGGGTCTTTATGAAGTGAAGAATTGAGAGAAGAATCGCACTGTTAAATCGCTCAGAAAAAGAATAGACATGTTTTGCTATAAGAGGATTTTTCTTTATATTCAAATCGTTTGAAAAAAAAAGGAAAATGGAATCAAGTTGCCCTTCAACCCCTCGCTGGAATCTCGACAGACCTTTTCTCACCGGCAGATTTCATCAGGTTCTTCTGTTCTCCCTCTCACTTTCTCGAGAATCAATCGGAAAGAAGGAACTTGCAGTTCCAAATTTTCTCGCATTTTTTCAAATCTACAACCTTCATGTCTGTCTACATTCATTTTCAAAGAAAATGATTAAACAGAAGGAACGCATTTCCAAATCTAACAATTCCTTTTGCTCTCTTCTCGTCTATTTCAAGTTATTGTAGCTTCTTAGTTGTTAAGGTAGATTAATGGTTCTTCCAGGAAATAAAGGGGACATCTCGTTTGGCAGCTGATGCGAAGGGTTTTCCTTCGGATTGTTCAGGTATTTAATCTTTATTTCGTTTTTATGTTTTTTTTTCTTATTTTAGTTATATTTTTAAGCTTAATCTTTTTGTTTTTGTCCCTAATCAGCTCTGGGTTGGAAATCCAATCGGTTGTTATGATGCTGCGGTTCAGGTATTCTTCACTCATGCTAGTTTCCACTCAATTTCCTTTATTGTTTTAAAAGAAGACTGATGTTAACAATATTGGATACATCGTTTCTTTGGTACATTTTTTAATCGATTAATAATTCAACTGAACTTGCAATTTTAATTGCAAATTATTTTTTCCTGATGTAGAATTATAATGGTTTATTATTAGAGAGTATTGAGTTTGCAATGAAAGATGTAACAATATGTTTTTTTAATTTTGTGATGAGATGCGCTCTACTGATAGAGTGAATGCCCATGTTGTTAATGTTGGTATGATTGGCTTCTGTTGGAAGTCAGAGTTTTAGTTTCATTGATGAAAATTCAACAACCTGGTAGTTTTTGGTCGACAACAGAATTATCCAATTTTCTGTTGATTCATCTTATGTCTATTTGTGGGATTTTATTTTGTGGTACTTGCTGCTAATTAATTGAACTGTTGTCTTTAAACCAGTGCTTTTTTTTTGTTTTGCCACTTTTGTCTAAGTCTAAACTGTTTCTTATTTCTAGTTTACATGGGGATGGGTGAAAATTATGAGCTCCATGAGATTTTGGGGCTGCATATTTTGGAGAAAAAAATGCTGCATGTTATCTAAATTTCCTTTTGGTTTATTCATAAAACTGTTTTAAGAGCAGACGCTGATCTGCATAAGGAGGTATTTTCTTTGTTATGTGCATTAGTCTTATTCTACTTCATGTGGATTGTACTTGTCACTGTTGACTTATAGTTTTGTTCTGTTTCTATTAATTTGTTGTAACCTGTGAAGATCTCACAAATAGTGTATGTATTAATTGGTTAATTTGGTTTATAGGAACTTATTGTCATTGATGATCTCCTTTTTGCGTTGGTTGGAGTTGAAGGACGATATATTTCGATCAAAAGAATGCATGGAAAGGCTGATTTTAGTTTGCAGATTGATGCATCCATGGATTTAGCACTTCAGGTTAGAAATTTTCTTCTGTTGGCACAAACAAGTATTCACTATCCTTTGTGGCTGAATTGCTTTTGCTCTGGAAATTTGCCATTACGGTGATTGGAAAACTCGATGCCTACCTTGCTGCTAGCCTGCTACACGTGTTTTTTGGTCATTCTTCATTAAGCATGACAGGGACTTGCATTTTAGTGTTGGATTCAATTTCATTAAGTAAGAAGCTCTAGTAGCAGACTGCTTGAGCATGGTTTCTTTAGGGGCTCTTCAAGAACACTTGTTATGGAGTCTAGATTATTGAAGATAAACTATACTCCTAGAATTAAAAATAATTCCCCTAAAAACTATCGATAAATTAGTTCCATGGAGTATTTTAGTCTAGGAGTATGATGATGGCCACTTTTGATAATTTTGTCTATGTTAAAAATTGATAGGAGATGTTGCAAATGTATTATGTGTGATTTTCTCCCTTGCCTTTGCACATAGTTAACTGATTGAGATCACCATTGCAGGAATTAGCAAAACGGATATTTCCTTTGTGTGAGAGTTTTCTCTTGATTGATGAGTTTGTAGAGTCCAGATCTCAGTTCAAGAATGGCCTTGTCAATCATGCCTTTGCTGCTGCATTGAGGGCACTCCTTTTGGTAGGTTCTTTAGGCTTTGATTCTTTTTGATTAGATAATATTGCATTGCTCTGCTGTAATTTACTTTCTATTCAAAAGGTGATCCAACCTTCTGTTCTTATCCATCCTTGTAAACATTATCATTTATTGCAATGGCTATTGTTGTCTAATTCACACACATTGGTTTTCTTTTTCTATATTTTTTCCTTTTTTCAAGCAGATCAGTATATACCAATTGAGTTGTGACTGTATTCAAGATGCAGGGTTGCTGGCTTATTTGACATGGATGTTCACAATTGATACATGATATGATTTCTCTTGGTGCTATGATAAATGATGGGATTTATAGTTAGAAAATGCACATCTTTCAGGATTTTAAAGCCATTGAGAAAATAGGGCTTTGGGGTTTTAAATATGGTTGTAAAGAAAATTCCAACTCCCTTTGTCATTTTTTTATGTCTCTCTGTCAATTGAAACCTATAGTTCCCTGCTCGGTAGAGTTTTTAGGTTGGCTGTTAGTAGTTTCTTTATCATACTTCATATTTTGTATGACTTTGCTGTTAAATAGATTCATGATTTCTCTTTTGACAATCTGCATAATCATTTTCTCACTATCTGTCAACTTTCTTGATCAGGATTATCAGGCCATGGTTGCACAGCTTGAACACCAATTCCGACTTAGAAGACTTTCTATTCAAGGATTGTGGTTTTATTGTCAGGTTTGGATCTATTCTTAATCCTTTCGTTTTTCTAGAATGTACCACTAAGGATGCTTTCTTCCATGTGTTCGCAGCCCATGATGGGCTCCATGCAAGCATTGTCCACTGTGATAAGGAAGGTTTCAACTAATAATTATGCAGGTTCTACAGTGCTTAATTTGTTGCAGAGCCAGGTGAGATGTTTTTGTAGTTGATTTATGGAGGAAAATATTTTTTTTTAGTAATTTATTATTGCATTACAACTTAGAAGATGATGTTTGTTTCCTTTGTCCAATTTTCTTATTTGATTTCAGGCTAAGGCTATGGCCGGTGATAGTGCTGTGAGGTCATTACTAGCGAAAATGACTCATTCTGCTAGCAATGCTTACCTTAGCATACTGGAAAGGTACCCCCTGTACCCTGCAATAACTGCAGCATATCAGATTTTTGTTACTTATGCATAAATGTCTGGAATCTTCAAGTCTTTTTACTTTATCTGGTTATGTTTTTAAGAATGTCCTACATGCTTGTGTATCTTATTCCGCGCACTATTTTTGCAACAAAATATATTATAGTTGGTGAGTGGAAAAATGTGTTTCTGAGTTTCTTTTCCAAAGAAACATCAACTAATATGGAATGCTTGTCAATTATTTCACTACTATCTATATATTTTCATTGTTATAGGATTAGGGAAAACTATCTAATTGAGAACAAGAAAACTTGAATATCAGGTATGACTGATTTGGCATGTTTGAATGAAATAATTGAACAGATTTGTTTAAAATATGGGTATCTGGTGAGGTTTTTGGTTTGTGCTAGGGGTTGTGTTAGTTGAAGGCTTGTCTTTCTGAGAAGGAATGAGTGTTAAGCAGACTAATAGCATTTTTCCGAACCCACATGTGGTCCGTATATGAAATGACGGAATTGCTTTGTTTTGTCTGGTCCTGTGTGTTTGAATGTGCTAATAGTTAGCTGTCTTTATTAGCATCCATGTTATGTTCTGTTTATGCCCTTGATATAGAAATGAGTTAAAAATGTCAAAACATCCTATGGCTAATAATTTTTTTTTTGATAGGAATAAAAGGCCTCAATAAACCCCCTTGGTGGTTAACGGAACTTAAAAATAGTTCCTTAATCCACACAAGGAGGAAAGGAGTGCCCTAGGATTCAATAAACTCAAATATAACAAAGTAATACAAACCATCTCCCTCAAGAGATATAAAACCAAAAAGAAACAGCCCTTAACAGAGCATAATTCAACCAATACCCGCCTTAGCTAGGACATCCGCCTCTATATTGGCTGTCCTACTAACCCAACTAATAAAACCTTCAAAAACACTAAGCTTTTGAATAATGTCTTTAACTATTTGAACATAAACAACAGGACAAGAGACCACATCCTTAATCCAGCCAATGCCACCTGACTATCACTCTCAATAATCAATCTATCTTTAACCCTATGACGAATAGATTCAAAAAATCTAAACCCTTTAGGATAGCCTTCAATTCCATTAAAGTTGGGGGCCCGGACCAGCCGGCTCTTTGAAGGAGCCAAGAATCGAACTAGACATGTCTTTCAAAATACCACCTAAGCCACTCCTCTTCCAATCACTTGAGGTAGCCGCATCCACATTAAGTTTAACAAAACCTTTTGGAGGAGGGGACCAAGGAAACACGGTTGAAACCAGATAAGAATGGGATGAGTAGGAATCCACTATGGACGGGTCAGCAATAATATCATCCTTGGAAATAGTAACTTGAGTTTCCTTAGCTAGAAACCATGAAGCAAGCCTGCACCTAGCTAGAAAGAAAATCTCTGCTCGGTCAAGCTTCCCTCCTTCAAACACAATAAATTCCTGGTCTTCCAAATTGTCCATAGAACAGCTCCAGGAATAAATGGCCAGATAAGAGAGTTGGTCTTCAAGTCATTCCAAGCCAATAGGAATCTTTTAGCATCTGCATGAAAAACCGACTGAAAATTCCAATATCCCAAGAATTTCATCCAAATTGGCCAAACAAACGAACAGGAAAAAAATAAATGCGATGAAGACTCGTCTTCAAGATTACAGAAAACACAAAGTATCATTTATGCCCCGAACACCTCTCTTAACCAAAGCTGTCTTGACCGCCAACTTCTTTAATATAACTTGCCAAAGAAAAGTCTCAACTCTTGGAGGCAACCGACCCCTCCAAACATTATACTTCCAAAATTTAGCTTCCTCTGAATCGGGAGAACCCGAATAAGATAGGTTGACACTGATTTCACAGTGAAAACCCCTTCCCCATTCCCCTTCCAAAACAGTCCATCAGTGGCATCAGCAGAAATAGAGAAATCAGAGATAACAACCATCAAATTTGCCCATTGCTCAAATTCCCAGTCATTCAACTCTCTCCTCAACTGAACATTCCAAATCCAACCCCCTGAACTGAACTCCCCAAACTGAGATAATCTTCCTTCTTTATTTACTGCAATAGAAATATTCTAGGGAACAAAACCATCAAAGGATGATCCATTGTCCAATTGTCTTGCCAAAACCGAATGTTCCTCCCATTGCCAATTTTAAAGCTATATTACCTCTGATACTACAGCCCAACGAATCAGCATTATATGATTTCTCACCATATCTCCACATCCAGGATAGTTTAGGAGAGACTTTACTGTCAAACTGCATCAAGGAAGGATCCAATTTATATTTGATGCATAGCATTTCCCTCCAAACCGCCTCCCTCTCAATAGCAAACCTCCAGCCCACTTTTCCAAAAGTGCCCTATTCACCACCTTTAAATTAGGAACCCCCAATCTCCTTCAATTTTTGGTTTACAAACATCGGACCAGCTTACCCAATGTATCTTCTTTCTCCCATCACCACCACCCCACAAAAATTGACATGATAGAATTTAGAGTCTTGTAAACTGAAGCTGGAACCTTGAACATTGACAAAAAGTAAATCGGGAGTGAGCATAGAACTGATTTTTAGAACTAGCCTGCCTGCAGTGACAGAGAGGAGCCTTTCCAGCCCGCTAACCTCTTATTAAAGCTTTGAACCACTGGATCCCATAGAATGTTGGAGTTCCTATGTGGACCTAGAGGGGAGACCCAAATATTCTGAGGAAAAGAGCCCACTGAACATCCAATCATAGCTGCCCAACCCTTAATTCCTCTTTCCTTAAGTTCACTCCAAATAATTACACTTCTTTAAATTCAGCTGGAGACCAGAAATAATCTCAAACACCCGAAGAACCCTCTTTACATTCAAGATCTGTTTTCCGACGCCCCACAGAACATAATAAGGTCGTCAGCAAATTGCAAATGGGTTAAATTAAAATCCCTCTCGTCTTTTCTAATGACCAGTCCCGAAAAAAGCCCTCGTGAACAGCCTTCGCTATTAATAGATTCAATAGTTCCCCAACTAAATTGAACAACAATGGAGACAAGGAACAGCCTGCCGAAGACCCCTCGCCATAGGAATTTCCTCAGTAGGAACTCCGTTCACCAAACTGAAACAGTCGCTGAAGTGACACATTTCGAAATCCAACCTATCCATCTAGAACCAAAGCCCATTTCCTTCATTATTCTGAACAAATAGGCCAGTCAAGAGTATCATATGCCTTCTTGAAATCAGCCTTAAAAACACACCCTTTTAAACCATTCTTCCTCCAAAGTCAATCCCTTCATTTATAAGAGAACAGTCCAGGATTTGCCGACCGGGGATAAAAGCGAATGACTTGGACTGATCAAATCTGAAATGCAGCTCCTAAGTCTTCTTGACAAACATTTCGAGAGTATCTTATACAATCCACCAACAAGGCTTATAGTCTAAAATCGTCCAGACCAGCAATGTTAGAAATCTTAGGAATAGAGTGATGAAAGTGTGATTTACACCATGTTCCCATTCCTTCCCAGTAAAATTATGAAAGAATTTCATAATATCTACCTTAAGGAACTGCCAAAACCTCTTAAAAAATCCCAATTAAAGCCATCAGGACCGGAGCTTTTGCTGCCACAAGATTTCACCACTTCCCACACTTCCTCCTCAGAAAACTCCTGTTCTAAGAACTGCTTCTGCTCCAAAAAAATTCTGGGAAAATCCAGATTCAATCATCAATCTCTAAAGTAGTTCGTTCATTATAGATCTTAAAAAACTCTTTAACTATGGCCTTAATTGCCGTTGGTCTTCAACTGTTTCCCCTTTGAAGTTTTAAGCAAGTAGAGCATTCCTTTTATTCCTAATCGTAGCACAAGTGTGGAAGTATTTAGTATTGCGGTCCCCTCAACAATCCAATTAGTTCGAGTACTGAAACCAGATCTGCTCCTGAATCTTGTGAAGCTTCCACAATTCTGCTTAGATTTTTCAATTCAATTAATACCTCCTGTCAACAGTTCCTTGCTTCTGTTGAATGTCATCCTCTATCAACGAAATCTCTTCTCTAACTCAGAAATCAAAGCACCTGGATACTTCTCTCTGGTTCCCAGACCACTTCTTAATTGCATGTTTGGTGTTCCTCATCAGACTAAAAACGCCTGCCTCTTCTGACTATCCTTACCACTCTGAAAAGAAGAAACAACCAGATCCTCAAACCCTCCTCATCCATCAAATAATTGAATAATCTAAAGGGTTTTCTACCCCAGTCCACCCCTTTATTCTCCAGAACTATAGCATTATGATCTGACAAAGATCTTGGTAGAAGCGACTGCACAACGCCCGGAAACAGCTCTAGGAAACGACAATCAACCAAAAACGGTCCAATCTAACAAAGTGGGATTATCTTGGTTATTACACCAAGTGAACCTACCCCCTTCAAAGGAAGATCAATCAAGCCCGTTATGAAGATGAACTCATTAAAGATCTCATTGAACTCCTACTTTGACCCCTTCCCAACTTCTCATCTCTTGTAAATATACATTGAAATCCCCTCCCACACAAATGGGATAAGTCTGTCCACTAAGAAACTGCTCAATTCTTCAAAAAAACCAGATTTCTCCTCCTCCCTGCTGGACCGTAGAATTAATGAAACCACCCCGAATCAATACTCCGAAGTTTACCGAAAGTAGCTATGAATCTCCTGCTAACAAACTGATTCTCCAGCTCAAAAACATTGTCATCCCAACAACACAACAGCCCCCCGCTGATCCAACTGAAGGAGATTCCAAATTCCTTTAGTTTATTAATTCCACTTCTCCTAAAAAAAGACTTCCTAAATTCTCAGTCTTAGTTTCTTGCAGCCAAAGAAAAGTAGGATTAAAGTTGGAGACTAAATTCTGAACAGCCCTCTTTTTCTCGTTTTTCCCCAAACCCCTAACATTCCATGAACATATTACTAGCTTTGTCATCATCAAAAAGGAAATAGGTGCAGACACACTCCTCAATCAACCAATCCATTATTAACCCATTTACGCCTTTCTCTAAAGCTATGATTTTATCCAAAAAGGCTTCTTTCCCTTCCTTAAAAGACACACCCAAAAGCTTGCTAAACCTCCCAAGTTCCACGCTTCTTTCAACAGAATCGAAAAAGCTGAGGAGGATGCTGTATCATGCTCACCTGGTCTAGGGCTTCACGATACAGGATCCTTTAGTTCTTCTCTTCCTTCTAATCAGCAAACCAGATTGGACTTTAGCAATCACTTCTGAAAGTAACCTTCAATCTCCCTTCCTACACTCCCACCCCCATATCCATTGTCAAGATAGGATCAAGACTCCCCTCAGCAATGTTCTCTGCTGATAAACAGAACTGAATATTAGTATGGAATCAACATCTAGCTCCCTCTGCTTAACTACGGCACCCCTGTTTCAGACGAGATGTTCAACAAATCCCATACCAGTATCTTCTTTCCCTCGACCTGTTGTAAACCCTTTTGCAATTGCTCAGACTTCTAGTTTCCAGCACATTACCTCTGTTGTAAACTCCCTTCTAGAGCGAAAGTAACTGCCTCCCCTTGAGTTGTTATTTGAAACCTGTTCCAATGGTCTTAAATTTTCTTCTTCGGGGTCTATCTCTACACTAAATGCTTCTCTACAATTGGACTCGATTCCAATACCTTGGACACTCCCCTGCTTTTTCCTGATAATGAATGTTTCAACCAATTCCCCAAACTTATTAATTGTATATGCTGGCCCAGAAATAAAACCCGAAAAGTATTTTGACCAGACTGCCCAGAATCTTCAGAATGGGCCTGAGATCCATCAGCCGAATAATTTTGACTTCTAATCCCCAACCTGCATACTCACCAACTTTAAACTTCCAACAGTCTGACTTTCTGACAGACCACATTTACTATCTTTCCTATCTAAGGAAAGTCTTGCTAGCTGTCTGTCCGCACTAGCTCCTCCAGAAACACGAAAACTCCCTGGTCAATCCAATTGTCCACTGACAAACGATTTTCCCTTCTGCGCAAGTCTCACCTTCCCCATGAACTGACAACAATCTGTCTTCATCCTTCTCAGACATCCTCTCTTCAAAAATATCTCACGGAATCCTCCACCGGAAAATTATTGAAAAACGAACTAGAATATTCACTAGCTGATCCAATCTTGATACTTACTTTGTATGATCTTCCATACGATCCAAGAGTAATAACCTCTGGAACATCAAAAGGACTTTCCACCTCAATAGATTCTTGCCCATTGTGAGATCTTCTCTTTTCCTTGTATTATCATGGATATCTACCACACTGCCCATCTACCAGCCAACTTCTCGAAGAAGGGTTCATTCCAGCATAACAAAGGAACACCTTTTAATTCCGCCATGCGAAGGCCATTGGTACCCCGGCTTCATTCAGTAAAGGTTCCACTCGCTCGAACCATGTTTTAAAACTTCTTCCTTCTTACTCCATAACTCCCATCTCCTCATGAGATTTAAGAACTATCACAAGAATTCCCAGACATAGCCCCATCTCGCAATTTGAACATCATGGCCTTCTTTTAATATGCCGTCCGAATGAGCTCCACTTGAAAGGAGTATTTGATAATCCCTATTTCCCTTGACATTCCTCCTCTGGATATCCTCAGACATTAGATCATTGTTCCCCTTCTATTCCATTAGACAACAGAGCATCCCTATAAGATCTATCATCCCTCCTACTTCTATATTAACTCTATCTCTTGATTTTGAAGATTCTGCATTAATCTGACCAGCATCATTGTTTGAAGAAGAAAGCAACACCCTTGACCTTGAACGTTCATCCTTAAATCTGGCAGGACTAACTGAGATCTTCCTTCCATCAATCACAATCCCGTTTAACTCCTCAACAGCCCTCTTCAGATCCTCCTCCCTCTTAAAATGAACAAAGGCAAAAGTAGAGAACTTGTATTTTGGATTTCTAGTTTGGCTGGGAATAAAGACTCTCGTAACAGGACCATGAACTAAGAATAATTCCCTAAGCGTACGATGGGAGACCCTTTTACTTAGATTATCGATAAACGCCGACCAACACTCAACCGGAACTGACTTTCCTTTCAAATTCTCTCTCTCTACGTTTTTCTCTCTCTCCCTATGGCTAATAATTGAAAAATCTCCTGGTCACTAGAGATGATAAGTATTGGTTGACTGAACATATTACATGTTGCAATTCTCACAATGATATTATGGTTGCAAGAAGACTATGTTCCACTTTACTGGAGAAATTCAAGTTATTGATAACGTTGAAATTTGATTTCTACAGTAAATTCTGAATATTCTTTTTTTTTTTTGATAGAAGTTGGAGGTCTCATTAAAAACTCCCTTCATATTCTTCCACATACATAGAAGTATGTTGAAGAACTTGGAAGGAAGAAAAGATTGCCTCTATTTTATTAAATAGATACCAAGTACATGTGGTAACACTAACACCGATCCCTCAAACGGGAATAAACACCCTTACAAAAACCATATCACCTAAAATTCTTCCATCTTCAAACAAAAAGCCCCTAAGACAGTAACCCTATTTCTAAAATTCTTCCATCTTCAAACAAAAAGCCCCACGGGAAATATATAACAGCTGCAAAGGAATGATGAGAGAGAGTGTCAGGAAAGAAGAAAGAGAAAAAGGAATAGGCCAGTCTTCCTCCGGCGGGAGTTGGACTGTATTCGTTGACAACCTGAGTAAGAGAGTCACTAAGAGTGAGCTAAGAAACATATTTATCGATCAGGGTCAGGTGGTGAGAATTTTCATACCAAATGTGGTGAACAGGCCAAAGTATAAATCTTTCACTTTTGCCTTCGTTCAATTTGGTAATGAAACAGAGATGAGGAATGCAGTTGAAAATATTAACGGGTTGTGGATAGATGGGAGGAAAATTTATGTTGGAGTTGCAAAGTATCAGAGTGTTCGACCAAGGGTTGCTGGTTCTTCTCGTCTTTCAGTTGGTGTCCAGGAAAAGGTTATATTTGATAAAGCTAATCCAAGTTCGAAGGCTGCGTTTCCGAGCAGATTAAGAGATGATAGATCATACAAAGATGTCTTGGTGTCGTGCAGTTCGCAAAAGACTGAGTCGGAGCATATAGGAAAAAGTTACGAAAGTCTAGACAGGGGAAGGGATGAAGAAGAAGAATATTTGGGAAATGCATATTCCTACTGAAAATTCAAGTTGGGTGAAAAGATCTCTAACGGGTATTGTGAAACATTCCTTTGAGCTGGAGTTGGTTCAAAAGGTTTGGCTAGTGATGGTTTGAAGTTCAAATTGCGAGCTGGGGATATGTTTGGAACTCTTGTGTTATAACGTTCAAATCAGAGGAATTGATGAAGGATGTGTGGTCAAATAAGAGTAAGGAGTTATGGTTCTGGTTTGATCGGTTGGCACCTCTGTTGAATGAAGGTGGAGTGCCTATGGCTTATTGTTTGGTGGAGCTGTTCGGTGTCCCTCTGTTATGTTGGCAAGAGAATTTCTTACAGAAGTTAGCTGGAAGGTGGGGTTCAGTGGAGGTCATCCAGGATTCGACTCTAACAAGGGAAGATCTCTCGATGGTGAAAATTTTGCTTAGGGTGGAAAGTCCCTTTGACGTCCCGGAAGTGTTTACTCTAGGTTCCTATGGAAGATCATACAAGGTGACTTCTAAGTTGGGATCTACTTCCCAGGTTTCAAATTTCTTTCATGGCATATCGCCGGATAAATTTTCCGACGATAGAGTCACAGTCGTAGAGTCGTCAGAGGAGGAAGACGATAGTATACGTTCGTCAGACATGGCAGGTCCAGGTCAGCTTGATGTGGAAGATCGACAGAAAGTGGACTTATGGATTGATCAGGGATTTCCTGTCGGGGTTGGTGCAGCAGGTGAAGAAAATCAGTTTTCAAAATGAAGCTTGGCAGGGAAAGACATTAATGAAGTTGTGTCAGAAGGTCACAGTTTGGGGAGTAGTAAAAAGGGAGATTATGCTGGGCTAGGTTTAAGAAATAAGGGGGATTATAAAGACAGTTTGTGTCGGGTTGGTGCAGCAGTGACAGAAATCATTTTCAAAAGAGCTTGGCAGGGAAAGACATTAATGAAGTTGTGTCAGAAGGTCACAGTTTGGGGAGTAGTAAAAGGGAGATTATGCTGGGCTAGGTTTAAGAAATAAGGGGGATTATAAGACAGTTTGCAGCCTTCAGACAGGAGCATGAGCCTTTTTTCTCCTATCTTGAGACTAGTTCCGGCTGGGCCAGCAGTCAAATTCATTGGGCTCGGAAATGCTAATCAAAAGCAAATTCATAATGTTACTAGCAGCTCTGGGATGGAGACAAAGACAGAGGCAGTCAAGGCTTATGGTCTGAGGCGGTTTTAAGGATACAACAGTATGGATGGTGAAGTGGGGTCTGCTGAAGGCTTAAAGTTGTCATGTTTTAGAGCTGGTTCGCCAACTCGTTCTGCTAGTCCTATTTCTTGAAGAGTGCCCCGTTGGGAAAGCTAATTAAGAGTCATAAGAGATTTTACAGCAGGTCCAGAGAAAGAAAATTTGGTTGGATGATCCAGGAAGGGTTTCTAGTTTTAAAGTTGGGTAGGTCTCCTATTTCAAGTGGTTTTCATTCTAAAGTTCAGAGGCGGCTGGTTGGCTGAAGGGGTTTGTGTTGATCAAAGAGCAAGCGCTCTTACAGAGAATGAAAGATCCCTCACTAGGGATGCTCTAGACCATGCTAGTGTGACTACAGTATCCACATTAACATTCTCAGGTTGAGGAGCGATTGCTACCTGGAGATAAGCAGATGCTGGGCATTTCTTTCAAGGAAGGGAAGAATGCTTTCTACAAAAAATTATGGATTTGGAGAAAGGTTTGAGTCAGGCTAGCTGAGTCCTAAGATGGATTCTGGATTGCTTTGGTATTTTTTATAATTGAATATGATGACAAAACTCATTATCTTGTCCTGGAATGTTAGGGGGCTGGGCAAAAAGGAAAACAGAGCTGTTCAGAAGTTATCCTTAGAGAAAAAACCAATGTTTCTTTTTCTCCAAGAGACAAAACTTGAGATTTTACCAAGCTCATTTTTAAGAAGAAGTGGGTGAATAAGCTGCAGGGGTTCGTTGTGTCTCCAGTAGCTGGATCTTCAGGAGCTTATTTAGTTGTTGGGATTAGTTGTTTTGAGTTAGAAGACCAGTTTATCCATAGGAGGTTTATTGTTGTTTTTTGGGATGTTCAAATCCAACCAATTTAGGTGTGGATTCATTAATGTTTATGGTTCGTCTGTGGAAGAAGAGAAGGCCAGTTTCTTTGAAAAATTGGGACAGTTTTTAAATGGTGCAGTTTGCCTTTATGTGTGGGAGGGATTTCAATGCTTACTTAACAAGAGGAGAAGGATGGCAGGTCTCAAAATAGAAATTCAATGGATTTTTCACTCTGTTCATTCAGCAAACGGGGATGATTGACTTACCTTTAAGGGGGGAATTATACATGGAGCAGTAATTTAGGCTGTTTAGCTATTTGATGACTGAGGACGCTTCCAGAGAAAGTTGCAGAGTCTATTAGTGAGTTCAAGAGGGTCGGAAAAAAGCAGGAATTCTGAGCATTCTTAGAAATACTAAGTTTGCTATAAGACTTGGTCTGGAAATAGGAATCAATTTCCTAGTAAACAGATTTCTGCTATTGAAGACAAGATCCATCACCTAGAGAACTCTTTTCAGAAGAATCGAGTTTCAGAAGTTATTGATAGTTCATCAGAGCTGAAGTTACTGAGGGATGAGCTTTGGAGACTTTACAGAATTGAGGAGCAAATCTGGTTTCAAAATTCAAGAGAGAAGTGGTTAAAGATGGTGATCGGAATTCTAAATTTTTTCACACTTGTGCTTCCTTAGGAGGCGGAGGAACGCTCTAATGCTATTTGTGTTGATGGGGTTATTATCAGGGACCCGGTCCGGTTAAAGTCTGCTGTCAAAGAGCATTTTCTCAAAGCTTTCACTACTATACCCATTTCTACCGTTTATATGACCATCCTTCCGCCAATTTTGAAATTCGTTTCTTCTCCTTCTCGCCACTTTAGAAGATTTTTCATTGGAATACCCTTCTTGGTCCATGGTGATCACTTCAGCAGCAGAAAGAGGGTGTTGCCTCCACTAAAGAAAGTTTCTCAATCCTATAATTCCCACCTTGCGAAGAAGACATACCACTGTCATCAATCCTAACAACAGGAGGTTGACAGTCTAATGTTCCTTTAACAGAGCATTTTTTCAAAGAATTGGTTGAAAGAGGACGTTCACCCGACCTCGCAGAAATGCTCTTAAATTATGCTGAATATGGTGGGTAGGAGAGTGTCTGTAGGTGGTGCCGTCGGGCTCAACTGTCCAACCTGCCTCCCGGGCCAAGGCTGCCAGAACAGCGTTCATATCAGAACGCACGAGAAGAGAGAAATTACCATATTGCCTCAAACCGGCCAGTAAACGTCTGGTGAAGTCTCGCCTGTTCCGTTTTCGAGGCTTTGTCCTCTCCTTTTCATTCTCCCTCTCACGTTTTTCCTTACCGGAGTAGGAAAAACCAGATCTGCTGTTGCTTCCAGAGGCTGCACCTGCTGCTACTGTTGCAGCTCGATTTCGCCTGGGCTGAGACGGGGGTTGGGTCTCCATGGTGAGATCTGGAAAAAACAGAAAGCTGGAGGAAAGGGTTCTTCCTTGCCGAACCAGATCACTGAAAAATAAAGGAGAATAGAAACAATTCTCGACACTAGGAGGGAGGGTTCTGGTCGCAAGAAGACGCTGAGTCCGGTGGAGAGATGGTGACGAGCATGGACGACGGAGAGCGGCGTAAATCGGCAGTGGACTTCTTGAAGATCTGCGTTGATTGAAAGTCCCAATCGCAAATCTAAGGCCAGATTTGAAGTTACCGAGAGCCGGCGATCTTCACAAGAAAAAACGGCGTCAAACGGTGGTCCGAGTGTGGCGGCGGACGGCTGACAGTGGCGGCGGCGGACAACGGGTGTCGGAGGAGAGAATAATTTTCAAAAACGCCGCTCGTGGAAATTTGAAATTTGAATCGCCTGGGTTAGAGAGAAGCTGGAGCTTCTCTCACTAACACGTGAACGCCTTTATTTCTATAAATTCTGAACATTCTAAAAAAGTAATTTTGTTGATTAGTATCTTGTTTTTGAATCGAGGCTCTATTCTTCGGGAGAAGTTGCATATTTGAATCTGCATTCAATGCTTATGCCTTTACGATCTATTCTTAGGTTGATTCTGAGGCATCTATCTATAACTTGTATCTAGCCTTTTTAGATTTAAATGCCTGGAAATTGAATACAGTTCTACTTATGAAGACCTACAATGATTTTCTTACACAAATGTTTGCTTAAATATTGGGGCATTTTTTAATTGTTTTGAGCGAAGAAGTTGCTTATAGCTCCTGGACTAGATATTTAGGAAACTCATCTTGTTAAGTCTTAAAATTATGACCTTGTAGGAATGCACGGGAAATATCCATATCTAGATTCAATTTTCATGATAATTGAATCGTTTATTATCTAATTTAATTTGAATAGTATTATCCAAATTCGAATCTGAATGAGATAGAACCATCTGTTGAAGGCTGGAATCTGTTGGAATACTCAATGATTTACATTTCTTTTCCATAACAAAAATATAAAATCAAAGAAGAAAACATTTGAATTTCTTTCTGTCAAAATAATGATATAAAATCAGAATAATTAAATTAAAATTAAAGTTTACACGAGTAACAACAAACTACTTTTAAAAAGAAACAAACAAAAAGCTCAGATAATAAAAATCCATTTTTGAAACTAAAAGTAACCATAGATTGATTAAAAAACAACAATAAACTAAAAATGAATTTGGATACTTTCTCTGAACCAAAACCAAATTGGATTTCGGTATTGAATATCCAAAGGTTACTGCCTGAATCCAACATGGTAGTAAATGTTCTATCTGAAATATTATCCAATTATAAGGGACCCAAATCCTAATAATTAAATCAGACAATATTTGGTACTTCGTTTTCATCCATTCCGATGCCTACTTTATAGTTTGATCAATGTATTCAACGTAAAAAATACCATTAAATTTGCTCAGTTTCTTTCCTACTGAAGAGTTGTAGGGTTTTATGAAGCATTATAATTAAATTAATTATCATGGGCAAATACCAACAAATAGGGGATCTATGAAGGAGTAATTGATGATCCATATGGTGAATTTTTTATCTCCGAGAACAAGTCTCTTCAAAAGGTATTGTTTCTATTCACATTAATTTTGCTTTAAATTTAAAGTTATTATGCTTTTAAATTTTAGGTTTTGTAGGAGAGCCTTACTCAAGATAATGATGCTAAGTATTGGAGGCAGCGCTATAGTCTTAAGAAGGACATTCCTAGCTTCCTTGCAAATATTGCTGGTACAATATTGACTACGGGAAAATATCTAAATGTCATGAGAGAATGTGGGTACAATGTTCAGGTTTGATTCTCTAAACGAGACCTACTTTGTCCTCCTTTTTGCTTTGTGACATACTGCTTACTAGATGTTATTGTAGGTGCCTGTGTCTGAAAATTCTAAGTTAATGACTTTTGGGTCCAACCATCATACCTTGAGTGTGTAAAAGCTGCTTATGAATTTGCCAGTGGTGAGCTCTTAAGTCTTATCAAAGAAAAGGTGAGCATGAGTGGTTATTACTTTGTAACTTACAAGCAAATCTTAGTGTTTTTATTTGTTTTTGTCATCCATTAATAGAATTTGCTGATTGGTCTAGTGGTTTCCTTTCGATTGTTGTAGTACGATCTAATAGGAAAGTTGCGGTCTATAAAGCACTATCTTTTTCTTGACCAGGTAAATATGTTAAATATTTTATACTTTGGGATGAAAACCGTTCTTATTTATCTGTAGTATTGTTTTGAATGTTTTTTTCCAATTATTCTAACAAAAAGTACACAAATTGTAATTGTTTTTTTTTTTCTTCTGATGAGCTCGTTGAGATAAGCTATGTTACTCGAACTTGGTTGTGAGTTTTGGATGTGGGTATGGTTAGAATTTTCTTTTTTTGATAAGAATTGTAGGCCTCATTAAAAACCCCCTTCTTGATTATAGGAGCTTATAACCAAGCTCCTTAATTAGTGGAAGGAGGAAAAGAGTGCCTTAGAAATTTATTCAACACCTGAAATTACATAAGATACATCCAGAAAAACACCCCTTCAAAAACAGAAAAACAGAAGACACCCAAAAACAACCATAACCAACACCACTGACTTAGGGTAAACCAATTTAGAAACCTGATTGGTTTACCTCTTACAAACTACCACCACCCTTACAGACTCAAGCTTATTTTTTGCCCAAGAAAGCACAAAACTACAAACCAAAAATCTACAGACAATCAACCAATCCCTGCTTAGCTAACTTATCAGCCTCCATATTACAGCTCCTAGGAATCCATCTAAGAACGTCCAAAGCATAAATAAGAGCCCCAATTTCCTGTACCAGATCCCGCAAGGAAGTAGGGGCAGGTTGTTGGTTCTTAATCCAATCCACTGCACTTTTGGAATCACTTTCGATAATAAGTCTTCCCTTCTTACACCAACCCGATGAATAGGAAAAATCATTTCCCTCCTTAATAGCTTTAAGTTCTGCCAGAATAGGAAGAGTAGACCCTACTGCTGTAGAGAAAGTGGCTAAGGTCGAGCTATTTGAATCTCTTAAAATACCTCCAATTCCACCTCTCAGCCCATCACTTGTAACTGCCCCATCCACGTTAAATTTAAACATATCCGATGGTGGAGGTGACCAACCAATAACCTTCTTTGAACAAGACGGTTGTGGAAACTGATCAGCCCGCGATGGATCCCCTACCAGCAGATCAGTCTGCAAACATGCTGTAGGGTATTTCGCAAGGTACCATTTAGCCAACCTAAGTCTAATGAAGAAAAAAAGAGCTGTGTTGTCCAAATTTCCGTTGTCAAACACCACCAAGTTTCTAGCCTTCCAAATTGACCATAAGACGACAGCCGGGATAACCTCCAATAATAGAATTCTGCCGTAGGTTTGCCCAAGAATAGAGGAGGGAAATGGGATCTTGAGGCAAAGCAGTAGAAATATCCCATAACTTTAGTAATTTATTCCAAATTTCTCTTGCAACAGAACACAATAAGAATAGGTGCTCTACTGTTTCCTCAAGATAACCACATAACGGACAAAGAACATTATCCAAAGGGATTCCCCTTTTCCTCAACTCCACTCGGATTGCCAATTTACGATGGCAAACCTGCCACAGAAAGGTTTGGACTCTAGGAGGAGCCAAACCTGTCCACACCCATTTCTTCCACTCAAACTTGCATTCAGAATTGCTCGACAACGTCTGTCTATAAGACTTGACTGAGAACAAACCAGCCCCATTCCCCGACCAAGCAAGAAAATCTTTCACAGAATCGGAAACCGCAATATTATCGAGCAAAGACATAAGAGTAATCCACTGCTTCAATTCCCAATCACAAAGGTTTCTTCTTAAAAGAATATTCCAAACCCAAACATTATTATGAAAACCACCAAACTCGGCTACAAGCCCTCGTTTATTCGTCGACAAAGCAAAAATCCTGGGAAATTGAGCTTTCAATGTCAAATTATTCACCCAAACATCAGTCCAGAAGGCAATCGACCTACCATTCCCCAATTGGATCTTGGAATTTGTTCTCAAACACTCTCCCATTGTATCATCTTTAACATAATTATTCAAAATACCCCTCCATACCCAAGAATCTATAGGTGAAGCGGCATGTGATAATGCAAGAGATAAGTTGCTAACGTTATTTTTACAGCATATCATTTTTTTCCACCGACTGTTTTTCTCATTTGCGAATTTCCAAACCCATTTCCCAAGCAAGGCTCTATTCATCAACCTAATATCAAGGATTCCCAACCCTCCCTCTTCAAAAGGCTTACACACCAAATTACAATTCACCCAGTGAATTCGATTCTTAGATTGATTTTCTCCCCAAAGAAAGTTAGCCATCAACGTATTTAGTTTATGAGTCACCTTTACTGGAATTTTGAAAATAGAGAAAAAAAACCGATAAAGAAGACAACACAGATTTAACCAACACAAGTCTACCAGCCATCGATAAAGAATTAGCTTTCCAACCTGCTAGTCTTCTAATGAAAATTTGGATTACCGGTTCCCACAAACCTATAGAATTCCTACTTGAACCAATCGGTAAACCGAGGTACGTCATCGGAAAAGACCCCACTCCACAACCCGCTTCATTCGCCCAGTCCATAATCCTATCAACCCCTACATTGACGCCATACAAAGTGCTCTTTGACAAATTTAAATGCAGCCCCATCATAACACTGAAAACCCTCAAAACTCTCCTAATATTCAAGATCTGCATCGGTGAATCACTGCAGAATAAAATTAGATCATCTGCAAACTGTAGATGGGTCAAATGGAAGGAATTACCATTCCTACCGATTCTGAACCCTTGGAAAAGGCCTACATCTGCAGCCTTGATCAACATTAGGTTTAAAAGTTCCCCAACTAAATTGAACAGAAGAGGGGACAGACTGCATCCTTGTCTCAACCCTTTAGAAATGTGAAATTCCTTCGTAGGAGACCCATTCACTAACACCGAGATAGAGGCTGTAGAAATGTAACGATCAATCCAAGAAATCCATTTTTCCCCAAAGCCCATAACCTTCATTAATCTCAGTAAAATTCGCCATTCAACTGAATCATATGCCCTTCGGAAATCAACTTTGAAGACTACTCCACGTCTCCCCCTTTTCCTCCAATACTCAATGCCTTCATTAGCCAAAAGAGCACAATCAAGCAATTGTCTTCCCGGAATGAAGGCAAATTGCGATGGGCTAACAATGTCATTAATAACTGAAACTAGCCTTTTCGAAAGCACTTTAGAAATTATTTTATAAATGCTGCTAACAAGACTTATGGGTCTAAAATCTTCAATTACCTCTAGATTCAGTTTTTTGGGGATTATAGAAATGAACGAATGATTAACCCCATTCTCCCATTGCCTACCTTTGTGGAAATCTTGAACAAATTTCATAATATTCTCCTTCATTATTGGCCAGAATTTTTTTAAAAATCCCATAGTAAATCCATCCGGACCAGGTGCCTTCGTGCTGTCCGAATAAAAGATAGCCTCCCACACTTCCTTTTCCGAAAAAGCAGCCTCTAAACCTTCCATTTGATCATCTGTTAATTTGGCGAAGTTCAGATTAATTTCGTCCACCTACAGAGTTGACTTGTCATTGTAACTGCGCTTAAAAAAATATGAAATAGCAGCTCTAATCTGATCCGGATCAGTAATCTCAACACCCGCCACTTTCAAGGACGAAATTGCATTTACTCTGCTCCTATTCAAGGTACATAAGTGGAAGAATCTGGTATTTCTATCCCCATTCGTTATCCACTTTTGTCTTGACTTCTGTAGCCAAATACTTTCCTCCTTCCTGTGCAAATTCCACAAATCATTCCTCCAACGCAGAAGCTGCTCCCTGTCCTGAGCAGAAATGCCGCCACCTTGAGACCTCAATTCCAACTCATGTATCCTTGTTTCCACAACAGAAATCTCCTCCGAAAACCCCTTATGATTTGAGTTTGGACAGTTTTTTATTGCTTTCTTCGTTCCTTGTAATATACTAAGCAAACCCCGTCGACCATTCTCCGTTTTCAAATTAAAAATCGAGTTCCGAATCACCCCATCAAACCCATCTTCCTCTAACAAATAGTTGAAAAACCGAAAAGGTTTAGGACCCCATTCTGTACAATCTTCTTCAAGCAACAAAGGATTATGATCAGATAGGGATTTAGGTAACAACTTTTGAATTGCTTTCGGAAAATTCTGAAAGAAGTTATCCGTAATAAAAACCGATCTAGTCTTATCCAAGTTGAAAACTCCCTATTATTGCACCACGTAAACCTCCCTCCAACTAACGGTAAATCCACAAAATTAAAACCCTGTACAAAAGCGTTAAAAATATCCACAAAATGCCAATTTTGAGCCACCCCAATTTTCTCCTCTGGATCGAGGTAGGCGTTGAAATCCCCCCCTACACACACTGGCAACTCTAGAGTATGCACAAAACTGCTCAGCTCCCTGAAGAAAACCTCCTTATCGGCCTCTACTGCCGGACCATATACGTTAATAATAACACAATCAAAATTGCTAGCCTTAAATTTCCCTGATAAAGCAATAAATCTATTATGATAAATTCCCTAGTGACTTCAAAGAAATTATCATTCCACAAACAAATTAAGCCCCTGCAGATCCAACTGCTGGCTGACAGCATTTTCCTTTCAACCAAGTACCTCCCAATTTCCTCCAAAATCCATTCTGGAACTTATTCAGTTTAGTTTCCTGCAAAAGCAGAAAGGTAGGTTTAACTCTGGTGACTAATCTAGCAACAGCTCGTACTTTTTCTGATTTCCCCAGTCCCCTAACATTCCAAGAGATCATTTTCAAATGAGTCATTTAAATAGCAATGATAACAACCTAAAACAACCAGTCACCAGCACTCAGGAATCCCGAGGATCTCCTATCAACTCCATCCTCATTATCTGGTCTTCAAAAACATCCTGCCCTTCTTTAAAGGAAATCCCCAACAAGTCACAAACCTCCCTGGTAGCAGCTGCTTCACACCTAGCATGACCCGAAGGGTGTGAATGTTCTGAAGTACTCCTATCATGATCCAAAGAATACCTACAAAAACTCCTATCCACCCTTCTATATATTCTATCAAGAAAAGTAATAGAAACTTCACCGTCCGAGCCAACACTACCGGAATTGGTGGGAGCAATTCTTAACTTCCTGTGGTTTGCATTATTCCAGGGACGAGACAGGGGTACTTCAACCAACGTAGGAGATGAGAGCCAATTTTTTGCAGACCACTTCACAACTTTTGATGTATGTGCATGTCATTGCCAAGTTTTCAATAGCCTTATGCAGGGCATGCTTGGCATTCAGTATTCACATAGGTCAAGCTGTGATTTGGTTCATCTTTTTGTTAGCCTATATTTAAACCATATTGTGACCATTTCTGACTAGTTCTCAACTATTTGACATCGTTAGTACTTAGTTGTGCTTTGTAAAACTCATAATGCCAAAGCCTTAATTGTTCCAGTGCAAGGTAGCAGTAGTCGTTCTTTTTTTTTTTTAATTTTGTATGATATACATATGTTTTCATAATGGTTTATGTAATCATTCTAATTCAGGTGCTATCAAATTGCAGGGTGATTTTTTGGTTCATTTTATGGATATAGCTCGAGAGGAGCTCTTGAAAAAGCATGATGAGATTTCTGTGGAGAAACTGCAGGTTTTTTCTTCTTTGCCCCCTTAAAAAAGAAACTGCAAATAAATGTTATTAAAAAGGCAGGCCATCTGACATGTGAATTTATTTCTCTTTAACCATTTCTTCTTGAATACGTAGTCTCTGCTGGATCTAGCTTTGCGTACCACAGCTGCTGCAGCAGATCCTTGTCATGAGGACTTATCATGCTGTGTGGTCAGTGATGCCCCTGTTCTTAATTTCTTTTTTATGGAGAAATTTGGATTGTGTGTGTGTGTGTGTTTGTGTTTATATTATTTAATGTTTTGACTCTCAGGAGAGATCTTCTGTTCTCAAAGGTTTGAGCAGATTGAAGGATCTTGACATCAAGAATGTTTGTCATAGTAATGATCTCGAGGAGCCAATAAGCATTACTGGTCTTGAGACATTTTCCTTGAGCTATAAGGTATGCTTTTCTTGTTGATGCTAGTGTGCAATGTCTGTTCTTGAATGAGACTTAGAATGTAACAAGTTAATTAAAGGAATGTACTTGCAGGGAATGTATCCATTGTTGGTTAGTCTCTTGGATGATGTGATTTCTTTTAAGGTTTAAATGTTCTATTAAAATTATGTTTGGTTCCTCGAATTTTTTCTGCATTTTGTTTAACCTTCTCTATCAAGTTAAAATAGTCGATCGTAAGAATTACATTATCTGATTGGTAGTTTCTCGGGGTAAGCATGGTTTAGTTTGGTTAAGTTTCAGTGGTAAATAAAAACAAACTAAGTTTGCTTTGATTTCTTATTTGGTATTTTACTAAATAAGCCAAAAAAATAAATGATTTTTTTTCATTCAAATAAGTAATATTTAAGAGTCCTCAATTTAAGTCAAATATAAAAAGTTAAATTAAAATACAAAACGAGAGTCTTAAGTTCCTATTCAGTGAATGGCTTTGGTGTACTGGGAATTCATTCTCACCTTATTTCCCCCAATACTAGTCATGCAACAGATGAAGCCTAAATGTGCTACTAAGAACTGAATTTCTTGCATCATAAATAGAAACCAGTCCATATAAAACGTTTTAGAAAACAAATTAAATAGTAGTACATAATGTTCAGGGTTCAACTAAAGTTTGCTAAATAACTTTTTAAAAGGAAACCCAAAAGTATAGAGAGAGAAAAACGTAGAGAGAGAGAATTTGAAAGGAAAGTCAGTTCCGGTTGAGTGTTGGTCGGTGTTTATCGATAATCTTAGTAAAAGGGTCTCCCATCGTACGCTTAGGGAATTATTCTTAGTTCATGGTCCTGTTACGAGAGTTTTTATTCCCAGCCAGACTAGAAATCCAAAATACAGGTTCTCTACTTTTGCCTTTGTTCATTTTAAGAGGGAGGAGGATCTGAAGAGGGCTGTTGAGGAGTTAAACGGGATTGTGATTGATGGAAGGAAGATCTCAGTTAGTCCTGCCAGATTTAAGGATGAACGTTCAAGGTCAAGGGTGTTGCTTTCTTCTTCAAACAATGATGATGGTCAGATTAGTGCAGAATCTTCAAAATCAAGAGATAGAGATAATATTAATAGAAGTAGGAGGGATGATAGATCTTATAGGGATGCTCTGTTGTCTAATGGGAATAGAAGGGGGAACAATGGTCTAATGTCTGAGGATATCCAGAGGAGGAATGTCAAGGGAAATATATTTGAGATGCATATCCCAACAGACAGCGCCAACTGGGTGAAGAGGTCGTTAACAGGGATTATCAATACTCCTTTCAAGTGGAGTTCATTCGGACGGCATTATTAAAAGAAGGCCACGATGTTCAAATTGCGAGATGGGGCTATGTCTGGAATTCTTGTGTGATAATTCTTAAATCTCATGAGGAGATGCTGGAGTTATGGAGTAAGAAGGAAGAAGTTTTAAAACAGTGGTTCGAGCGAGTGGAACCTCTACTGAATGAAGCTGGGAAACCAATGGCCTTCTGCATGGCGGAATTAAAAGGTGTTCCTTTGCTGTGTGGAATGAACCCTTCTTCGAGAAGTTGGCTGGTAGATGGGGCAGTGTGGTAGATATCCATGATAGTACAAGGAAAAGAGAAGATCTCACCATGGCAAGAATCTTATTGAAGGTGGAAAGTCCTTTTGATGTTCCAGAGGTTATACTCTTGGATCGTATGGAAGATCATACAAAGTAAGTATCAAGATTGGTTCAGCAAGTGAATACTCTAGTTCGTTTTTCAGTAATTTTCCGGTGGAGGATTCCGGTGAGATATTTTTTGAAGAGAGGATGTCTGAGAAGGATGAAGACAGATTGTTGTCAGTTCATGGGGAAGGTGAGACTTGCGCAGCAGGGGAAAATCGTTTGTCAGTGGACAATTGGATTGACCAGGGAGTGTTTCATGTTTCTGGAGGAGCTAGTGAGGACAGACAGCTAGCAAGACTTTCCTTAGATAGGAAAGATATTAAATGTGGTCTGTCAGAAAGTCAGACTGTTGGAAAGTTTAAAGTTGGTGAGTATGCAGGTTTGGGGATTAGAAGTCAAAATTATTCGGCTGATGGATCTCAGGCCCATTCTGAAGAATCTGGGCAGACTGGGTCAAATACTTTTCGGGTTTTATTTCTGGGCCAGCATATACAATTAATAAGTTTGGGGAATTTATTGAAAACATCCATTTATCAGGAAAATGCAGGGGAGTGTCCAAGGGAATGGAATCGAGTCCAATTGTAGAGAAGCCATTCAGTGTGGAGATAGACCCCGAAGAAGAAAACTTAAGACCATCGGAACAGGTTTTAAATAACAACTCTAGGGGGAGGCAGTTAATTCGGTCTAGAAGGGAGTTTACAACAGAGAGTAATGTGCTGGAAACTAGAAGTCTGAGCAATTGTAAAAGGGTTTACAACAGGTCGAGGGAAGAAGATACTGGTATGGGGATTTGTTGAACATCTCGTCTGAAACAGGGGATGCCGTAGTTAAGCAGAGGGAGCTAGATGTTGATTCCAGTACGAATATTCAGCTCTGTTTATCAGCAGAGAACATTGCCGAGGGAGTCTTGATCCTTATCTTGACAAAGGATATGAGGGTGGGAGTGTAGGAAGGGAGATTGAAGGTTACTTTTCAGAAGGTGGTGGCCATAAGTCCAAATCTGGTTTGCTGATTAGAAGGAAGAGAAGAACTAAAAGGATCCTGTATCGTGAAGCCCTTGACAAGGTGAGCATTGATACAGCATCCTCCTCAGCTTTTTCGATTCTGTTGAAAGAAGCGGTGGAAACTTGGGAGGTTAGCAAGCTTTGGGTGTGTCTTTTAAGGAAGGGAAAGAAGCCTTTTTGGATAAAATCATAGCTTTAGAGAAAGGCGTAAATGGGGTTAATAAAGGATTGGTTGTTTGAGGAGTGTGTCTGCACCTATTTCCTTTTTGATGATGACAAAGCTAGTAATATGTTCATGGAATGTTAGGGGTTTGGGGAAAAACGAGAAAAGGAGGGCTGTTCAGAATTTAGTCTCCAACTTTAATCCTACTTTTCTTTGGCTGCAAGAAACTAAGACTGAGAAATTTAGGAAGTCTTTTTTTAGGAGGAGTGGAATTAATAAACTTAAAGGAATTTTGGAATCTCCTTCAGTTGGATCAGCGGGGGGCCTGTTGTGTTGTTGGGATGATAATGTTTTTGAGCTGGAGAATCAGTTTGTTAGCAGGAGATTCATTGCTACTTTCGGTAAATTTCGGAGTATTGATTCCGGGTGTGGTTTCATCAATGTCTACGGTCCATCAGTGGAGGAGGAGAAATCTGGTTTTTTTGAAGAATTAAGCAGTTTTCTTAGTGGACAGACTTATCCCATTTGTGTCGGAGGGGATTTCAATGTATATTTACAAGAAGATGAGAAATGGGAAGGGGTCAAAGTAGGAGTTCAATGGAGATCTTTAATGAGTTCATTCTCCATACGGGTTTGATTGATCTTCCTTTGAACGGGGGTAGGTTCACTTGGTGTAATAACCAAGATAATCCCACTTTTGTTAGATTGGACCGTTTTTGGTTGATTGTCGTTTCCTAGAGCTGTTTCCGGGCGTTGTGCAGTCGCTTCTACCAGATCCTTGTCAGATCATAATGCTATAGTTCTGGAGAATAAAGGGGTGGACTGGGGCAGAAAACCCTTTAGATTATTCAATTATTTGATGGATGAGGGGGTTTTGAGGATCTGGTTGTTTCTTCTTTTCAGAGTGGTAAGGATAGTCAGAACGAGGCAGGCGTTTTTAGTCTGATGAGGAACACCAAACATGCAATTAAGAAGTGGTCTGGGAACAGAGTGAAATATCCAGGTGCTTTGATTTCTGAGTTAGAGAAGAAAATTTCGTTGATAGAGGATGATATTCAACAGAAGCAAGGAACGGTTGACAGTGAGGTATTAGTTGAATTGAAGAATCTAAGAGCAGAATTGTGGAAGCTTTACAGGATTCAGGAGCAGATCTGGTTTCAGTACTCGAGAACTAAATGGATTGTTGATGGGGATCGCAATACTAAATACTTCCACACTTGTGCTACGATTAGGAATAAAAGGAATGCTCTACTTGCTTTAAACTTCAAAGGGGAAACAGTGGAAGACCCAACGGCAATTAAGGCCATAGTTAAAGAGTATTTTTTTAAGATCTATAATGAACGAACTACTTTAGAGATTGATGATTTGAATCTGGATTTTCCCAGAATTTTTTTGGAGCAGAAGCAGTTCTTAGAACAGGAGTTTTCTGAGGAGGAAGTGTGGGAAGTGGTGAAATCTTGTGGCAGCAACAAAGCTCCGGGTCCTGATGGCTTTAATTTGGGATTTTTTAAGAGGTTTTGGCAGGTCCTAAAGGTAGATATTATGAAATTCTTTCATGATTTTTACTTGGGGAAGGAATGGGAACATGGTGTAAATCACACTTTCATCACTCTTATTCCTAAGATTTCTAACATTGGTGGACTGGACGATTTTAGACCTATAAGCCTTGTTGGTGGATTGTATAAGATACTATCGAAATGTCTGTCAAGAAGACTTAGGAGCTGCATTTCAGATTTGATCAGTCCAAGTCAATTCGCTTTTATCCCCGGTCGGCAAATCCTGGACTGTTCTCTTATAGCAAATGAAGGGATTGACTTTGGAGGAAGAATGGTTTAAAAGGGTGTGTTTTTAAGGCTGATTTCAAGAAGGCATATGATACTCTTGACTGGCCTATTTTGTTCAGAATAATGAAGGAAATGGGCTTTGGTTCTAGATGGATAGGTTGGATTTCGAAATGTGTCACTTCAGCGACTGTTTCAGTTTTGGTGAACGGAGTCCCAACTGAGGAAATTCCTATGGCGAGGGGTCTTCGGCAGGGCTGTTCCTTGTCTCCATTGTTGTTCAATATAGTTGGGGAACTATTGAATCTATTAATAGCGAAGGCTGTTTCACGAGGGCTCTTTTCGGGTCTGGTCATTAGAAAGGAGGAGAGGAATTTTAATTTAACCCATTTGCAATTTGCTGACGACCTTATTATGTTCTGTGGGGCGTCGGAAAAAACAGATCTTGAATGTAAAGAGGGTTCTTCGGGTGTTTGAGATTATTCTGGTCTACAGCTGAATTTAAAGAAGTGTAAATTATTTGGAGTGAACTTAAAGGAAGAGGAAATTAAGGGTTGGGCATCTATGATTGGATGTTCAGTGGGCTCTTTTCCCTCAGAATATTTGGGACTCCCTCTAGGTCCACATAGGAACTCCAACATTCTATGGGATCCAGTGGTTCAAAGCTTTAATAAGAGGCTGGCGGGATGGAAGGCTCCTCTCTGTCACTGGCAGGCAGGCTAGTTCTAATTAAATCAGTTCTATGCTCACTCCCTATTTACTTTTTGTCAATGTTCAAGGTTCCAGCATCAGTTTACAAGACTCTAAATTCTATCATGTCAAATTTTTTGTGGGGAGGTGGTGATGGGAGAAAGAGGATACATTGGGTAAGCTGGTCCGATGTTTGTAAACCTAAAATTGAAGGAGGATGGGGGTTCCTAATTTAAAGGTGGTGAATAGGGCACTCTTGGAAAAATGGGCTTGGAGGTTTGCTATTGAGAGGGAGGCGGTTTGGAGGGAATTGCTCTGCATCAAATATAAATTGGATCCTTCCTTGATGCAGTTTGACAGTAAAGTCTCTCCTAAACTATCCTGGATGTGGAGAGATATGGTGAGAAACCATTATAATGCTGATTCGTTGGGCTGTAGTATCAGAGGTAAATATAGCTTTAAAATTGGCAATGGGAGGAGCATTCGGTTTTGGCAAGACAATTGGACTATGGTTCATCCGTTGATGGTATTGTTCCTAGAATATTTTCTATTGCAGTAAATAAAGAAGGAAGATTAACTCAGTTTGGGGAGTTCAGTTCAAGGGTGGATTTGGAACGTTCAGTTGAGGAGAGAGTTGAATGACTGGGAATTTGAGCAATGGGCAAATTTGATGGTTGTTATCTCTGATTTCTCTATTTCTGCTGATGCCACTGATGGATTGTTTTGGAAGGGGAATGGGGAAGGGGTTTATACAGTGAAATCATGTGTCAACCTGTCTTATTCGGGTTCTCCCGATTCAGAGGAAGCTAAATTTTGGAAGTCTAATGTTTGGAGGGGTCTGTTGCCTCCAAGAGTTGAGACTTTTCTTTGGCAAGTATATTAAAGAAGTTGGCGGTCAAGACAGCTCTGGTTAAGAGAGGTGTTCAGGGCATAAATGATACTTTGTGTTCTTTCTGTAATCTTGAAGAAGAGTCTTCATCGCATTTATTTTTTTCATGTTCGTTTGTTTGGCCAATTTGGATGAAATTCTTGGGATATTGGAATTTTCAATCGGTTTTTCATACAGAGGCTAAAAGATTCCTATTGGCTTGGAATGACTTGAAGTCCAACTCTCTTATCTGGCCATTCATTCCTGGAGCTGTTCTATGGACAATTTGGAAGACCAGGAATTTTATTGTGTTTGAAGGAGGGAAGCTTGATCGAGCAGAGATTTTCTTTCTTGCAAGGTGCAGGCTTGCTTCATGGTTTCTAGCTAAGGAAACTCATGTTAGTATTTCCAAGGATGATATTATTGCTGACCCGTCCATAGTGGATTCCTACTCATCCCATTCTTATCGGGTTTCAACCGTGTTTCCTTGGTCCCCACCTCCAAAAGGTTTCGTTAAACTTAATGTGGATGCGGCTACCTCGAGTGATTGGAAGAGGAGTGGCTTAGGTGGTATTTTGAAAGACATGTCTAGTTCGATTCTTGGTTCCTTCAAAGAGCCGGCTGGTCCGGGGCCCCCAACGTTAATGGAATTGAAGGCTATCCTAAAGGGTTTAGATTTTTTTGAATCTATTCGTCATAGGGTTAAAGATAGATTGATTATTGAGAGTGATAGTCAGGTGGCAGTTGACTGGATTAAGGATGTGGTCTCTTGTCCTGTTGTTTATGTTCAAATAGTTAAAGACATTATTCAAAAGCTTAGTGTTTTTGAAGGTTATATTAGGTGGGTTAGTAGGACAGCCAATATAGAGGCGGATGTCCTAGCTAAGGCGGGTATTGGGTGAATTATGCTCTGTTGAGGGCTGTTTCTTTTTGGTTTTATCTCTCTTGAGGGAGATGGGTTGTATACTTTGTTATATTTGAATTTATTGAATCCTAGGGCACTCCTTTCCTCCTTGTGTGGATCAAGGAACTATTTTTAAGTTCCGTTAACCACCAAGGGGGTTTTTTGAGGCCTTTTATTCCTATCAAAAAAAAAATTCTAATTGAAATAAATCATTTGTTGTGTGTGTGGGCATGCATTATAGATATTGTTCTCAGTTCTTCCTTTCAGGATTTTTTAAAAACAAACTGAAACCAAATTATTAGTTCAGTTTTTTTCAAACCAAATGAAACTATTTACCCGTAAACCAAACCAAACTAGATCAGTTGTTTCTTTGCTTTTGACCAAATGTGCTCTGCCCCAGTAGTTTTTTTCCCTTCTTTTTGTATACTTGGTGAGTGGAAACTTCTTATATTGTAATCCATTGCTACATCACTTTTACATCATTTCATGGTGCACCAATGTATTTTCATCCTTCTGCTCATGATGTTTTGTATGTTTTCAGATTCAGTGGCCACTATCTATTGTCATATCAAGAAAAGCTTTAACAAAATATCAGTTGATTTTTCGCTTCCTTTTTCATTGTAAGCATGTGGAACGCCAGCTTTGTGGGGCTTGGCAAATGCATCAAGTACGGACTTGAACTTATTGATGAAGTCTGGTGACTTTTATGTGTTTTTATATGTTATCCAATAACTGCAACAAATTGTGTAGGGAGTTCGTGCTCTCAATTATGGTGGGACTGCTATCTCTAGATCATCTCTCCTCTGTCGTAGCATGCTGAGATTTATTAACAGTCTTCTGCATTATCTAACATTTGAGGCAGGTTTCTTTGTATCCTTTGCACCATAGCAGCTCTGAATACTTTTGTAAGGCCTAGAAGGAAAAGCACATGAAGTCAAATGAGTCATATATGATACATGCTATTTATTTTTGTTCCACTTTCTTTCAGTTTTGGTGCATAACCGAACCTCAGTTTTTCTTTTCACTGGGAAATTTCTGCATTTGTGGTAGTCAAATCCAGTAGCAAGACGGACTTTGGGATTTGACTCTGAGCTTTGTTAAAGAAACGGACATAAAAGGACGAGGAAGAAAATATGAGCTTAGATTAGGATGTTCAGTTAATTGGCTTGGTACCTTTTGGTAACTTCTTTGAAATTATTCTTTTCAGGTTCTTGAACCCAATTGGCATGTGATGCATGGTAGACTCCAGACTGCAAAAAGCATTGATGAGGTATGATCCTAATTAGACTTCTATATGCTGCATATCTTATGGCATCACAAGTTATGTTTGACCATCCTTCTGTTTGTAACAGGTTATCCAGCATCATGATTTTTTCCTCAATAAGTGTCTGAAAGAATGCTTACTTCTTTTGCCTGAATTGATAAAGGTTTGTTGCTTCTGATTTATCAATATTTTTGGGACAGCTTTTAATAAACTGGCCATGCTTGTTTGCTGCTATTAGACTAAAATGGTGCTTCAGAGTTATACTAGAGTCAACTGAAAAATGATTAATGAAGCATATTTCAATTTTCCAAGTGAAAAAATGAAGTCGGAAATATCCTAAGAAGTTGATATAGCCCATGAATACACAAGATTTGATTGTGGGGAATTCACTTTCATCGTGTTGTTTTCTCTTAATTAGTATTTTTATGACTGTCACAGAAAGTGGAGAAGTTGAAATCATTATGCCTACAATATGCAGCAGCAACACAATGGTTAATTTCATCGTCTATCGATATTCCCAAGTTAGATGAGCAGTGCGATGGTTCTGGTGCGTCAGAAAAGAAGCAGTGGAAAACAAAGAATCCATCTCAGGCTCTAAAAGTCATGACTAGAAACTCTGCAGTTACTGATTCCATTCTGTAAGTGTGGAGAATGTCTATATGGTTACATTAAGTCCGTCCCTCTATAATCACACTAATTTTAAGTAATACATTGCAGTAAATTCGAGAGTGAATTTAATGCGGAGCTCCAGAGTCTCAAACCAATTTTGAGCAGCAGTTCTCAAGTAGAACCATATTTGACACATCTTGCAAAGTGGCTACTTGGTGTTGGAAATGATCATTAAGTTCAAAATTTGTTAGTCTTGTAAATTCATTACAAGATTATACAGTTATAAGAAATGCGAATCTCTTTAGCCATGCATGCCTTCTATGATAAATGTGCTTTAGGGTAGGGATTATTGTGTGTTGTGATTTTACTGTATCTTTGGTTTGTCTATATCCTGCATCTCATTCTTCATTACGGGTATGGCCGAGGGTGACGGACTCGCAAATGTTAATGATAAGTGAGATGCAGGATGTATGTTCTGAATCTTGTACTTGTATGGTTAACAAGGCATTTTTTTAGGTCTCTAATTTGACAAAACAGATGAGTGTATATTAAACAAACTGTACCATGTTGTAAACTTGAGTCATGGACGATGCATTTGAGGCCGGGTGTTGTGATTTCCTCTTATTATATCTTGTACCTCTTTTTCCCCTTTAGTCTACAGGCTAGCCAACCTTTTTTTGGTATAATCATCGGTATTCGAGTCGATTAATCAAGATTGGGTATTATAGAGTAATATTATGAGAGTAATTTATAAGGTGGGATTGAGACTATACACATGTAAAAATGGGAAGTAAAGTTCAGTGTTGACGAGTAAGAGGGCAGTTTATGAGTTTTCCTGTGCATATTGATGGATAAGATGTTTTATACTTGGATGGGTTTCCTTTGAGTGAAGGGTTTAAGTGATTCTTTTATATATATATATATATATATATATATATATATATGAAATAAAATCTTGTTATATAATGTAAAACTCTTTTAGTTTTACACATATTTAGAACTGTTGGATGAGTGAAAATAGATGGTTAAGTTTAATAGTAGGAAATGAGAATATATTTTGTAACAACCCGGAAAAATTTAGAATAATATTAAATTGAAATTGGAGGTTAATTGTGAAAATTGGTAAATTTTTTGGGACTAAATTGAAATATTTTAAAACTTGGAGCTTGTTTTAGAGTTAAAGAAAATTCAGGGACCAAGCCTTAAATTTATCCTAAAAGTATCGGCAGCTTTGGTGATTTAAGCGTGTTTCTGGTTTCAAATCAGAAATCACAAATGTTAAATTGCTTAAGTTTTTCTCCTCCCGTACCCTTACTTCCAAGCCCGATTCCGACGCCGTTCGACGTCCAATCGTAAAATTGAAACCACCGTTGTGTTCATCATCAAGCGAGGAACAAACCCTTCAAATTAATTGAAGTGAAACGCTGCCAAACGTCGGGAATTTTCAGTCAAAGCATCGTCGTTTTTTTTAGCTCTATCGCTGGGAAAAACTTAAATTCACCGCCGATCGTTGTTCAGTTTACGACACCTCCTGCACCATCGTGTTCCTTGTGTCGTTGCGAGTCCGCCGGTGTCAACCTTGTTCGCCGTTGACGACGGCGCGTGAGGAGGTGGACCAGTCTAAGATTCGGCCGAGTGGGAATACGAGCTCTCCGCCGTTCAAAAATTTGAACCGATCGTTGTAAGTATCTCGAAATCGCTCAAAATAATTTTTAGAAATTTTTCCGGGAATTTTCCGACACCGTGGCACTGTTCACGCGCCGCACGCACCGCCGCAGGGAGAGTGAGCTGCTGGAAAACCGGTTTAACCAGTTTTGAACCGGTTTGACCGGTTTGACCGGTCTGAACCGGTTTGACCCGACCCGACTGTTGACCCGACCCGACCGTTGACCCGACCCGACCGTTGACCGTGACCGTTGACCGTGACCGTTGACCGTTGACTTTCTTTGACTAAAACTTAAGATGGCTTTGACCGACCCTTAAACGACCGTAAATCTTTTCCGAGTATACCTATCCTGATAGTTTTCGACGTGCCAAATCCATTTCCGCAGTCCGTTTCACCAAATTCAAACCCGAAGGTCTCCAAATCGACGGTCAAAGTGGTTGACTTTGACTTTGACCAAGAATTTGGATTTTCGAAAAGTCATACTTTATATTTTTCGACGTCCTGATTCCGATTCCGCAATCCGTTTGGCCAAATTCAGACTCGAAATACCCCAAATTGATAGTCAAACTCAGAAAATGCTTAGATACTTAAGAATTTTAGCTTTGAACAATTAAGTAAGATTTGGGGCTGATAAATTATTGTTATTTGAAGGTGCACGAGACTCACCGGATCGTTCGATAGCTCGACCCAGTTCTTCTAGATCAGTTAAACCACGTATACCAGTATTCATTCGTAAGACTCGTAAATTTTATGATTTTAGAGATTTATTTATGTTACCCATTAGTAATATAGTGATATTATAAATTAGGTTCGAAAACTGTAGCAGAGCGTGGTGAAACCAGCAATCAGTAGATCCACGATTTGAACATATTATCGAGGTGTGTTCCCTATTTATTACTGAATTGTTTTATTTGTTTTAATATGTGGTACACTGAATTCTTTGGTTACCGTATTGTTGATGCATCGATTTAATGTGATTATTTATAGATTATGACTGTTATCTGATATTTGTTTTGAAATGGTATATGATTACCATGTTTATGGATTTATGGAATTTATAACACGGTGCAATTGAATTTTTGGAATACGAATTTATAAAGTACAGCTCTGATCAAGCTGGAAAAATTTTACGGACCTAATGTGACTCTTAGGTAGGCTCTGCGGCCCTGAGATCATTCTCGGGTAGGCCCTGCGGCCCTAAGATGTGTTCTTAGGTAGGCCCCACGGCCCCGAAATCTATCTTGGGTAGGCTCTCAGGCCCTAAGATGTTCCCTTAGGGTAACGTTTTTTTAAAGAGATTTACTGCAGTATAATTTTATGAGACTTTTTTGGACTATGATATGTTTAGTGTACCTATAGTGATTTTATGGTAATATTGGGACACACTGAGCCTAGCTCACTTTTCGAAAATGTTTTTCCCCTTTCAGATACTGTTGGTTAGATACCCTGGATTGAGCACTTGGAGGATCAACATATCTCTTGAAGTATATCTGATTGTAATGTTTTTACCTTGCAAGTTGACTTTATTTTGTTGACATTGACCTTATTTAAAAGTATGGGATTTTAATATGATGACATTTTTACTATTACTATTCGGTTTATCGTGATTTGATTTTTAAGATATGTTTTAAATTAATTTATTACTTATTGGTATTATATTTACAAGTTAGGTTTTGATAGTATAATTTATTATAATTTCATGTAATTTATAATGTGATTTTACATTGTTTGAATAACGGTTTCGGAAAAATGTCTTAAAGAATCATAATGTGATCCACTAGACTTAGTCGAAACACATAGGCCGGGTCTAGGGGGTTACATATTCAGTGGAAAAAAAAACAATGAGTCAATCTCAACCATCTATTTTCAATCATTCAACGATCTTAAATTTGTGTGAAATAAAAGAATTTTACATTGTGTGGATCCTAGCTATATATATATATATAATTTAAGTTATTTTTAAAAGTTTAATTATTTTTAATGGTAGTTTTAATAGAATTGAATAATTTTATAAATATAAATTAGTAAGGAATGTCGTCTTAGTTGACATTAGGTATTGAAATTGATCTGGAATAATGTTTTTATATAATTTTAATTAAATGATTCAAAATATGTAATTGATTTGAAAGAGGGATTACGTAAAGACTATATGTGACACGGCAATTTTTTTTTAACTCTTGCTTTTTCCTTGTTGAATTTCTTTGAATTTTAATAGGACAGAATCTGATATTAAAAATATTTGGCTTCATTTAAAAAAAATCCTAAACGATATATTGTTTTTATTATATAAGTGTTTAAATTCTTTTTCAATCAATGTATGTGTTTAACGTTATCAAAGTTATCAATTTAAGTTACTACGTTGTAAAACTATTAAAAATAAGTTAATTAATCAGAGTTCGATATGTGACCTAATTTTTAATATCTTTTAACTTGAAAAATAAAATTCATGAATTTAAACCTCCAGTTTTATTATTTTTCAAAAAAAAAAAAAACACGCCAATATTCTATAAAATATCTTTATAATCCTTAATTCCAAAACTAATTTCATCTTTGACTACTATTACTGCTGGTGAATATTCACTCACCTGTCGGACCATCATGCAATCCGAAATAGAGCTTGAAATCAATCATTGCCTATTGCAGAACAACCCGATTGGCATTAAGAAATAGGGGTATTCGCAAAGGAATTTCAATTGCAACGACAGTTTCTGGCGCAAAACTATAATCAATCATGTGTTTTTGCCATGAAATTTCAATCCCAACTGCTCTGTTTCTAGCACCTTTTTCATTTTGTTCTTTGTTGCGCGCAATTGGTTATCTATCGGATCAAGTTGGCGACGGGACACTTGGAGATTAGTGATTGGGTATTTGGGATGTGATTTAAGTTTTAAAATTTATAAGGTTAGGGCAATGCTAAGGAAATGATCGACAACGGTGGTCCGACGACGAGTTGATCGGCAGTAGCAATGGCAAGGAATGGTCGACGAGTTCTTTTAATAGATGTTATGGAATAGACACTTAAGATGATAACATTTGTAACGTTAGACACTTAAATTGACCGAAAAATTTTTTAAACACCTAAATGAGAATTGATGTATAATTTGAATATTTTTTTATTAAGCCAAAACTATTTAAAATTGAAAAGATTTGGTTTTGAAACCCTCGAGAATAGAACATTGAACAACCAATGCCGACGTTTAGGCCTGTAAAGAAACCGAACGCACACGAACGGAGGTATGTTCATGTTCGTTCATTTAATAAATAAACGAACATAAACGAATACGAACATAAACGAACAAAATTTTTTTTGTTCATGTTCGTTTATTAAGGAATATAACTTGTTCATGTTCGTTCATTTAATAAATAAACGAACATAAACGACAACGAACATAAACGAACATGAACATAAATAAACACGAACATAAACGAACATAAACGTTGGAGACTCTACCTTCCATTGTTCTTTCATGAAAGATAGTCAACAATGCAAATCAACCAAATCTACAGTGATAAATAGCGTAAGAGCTGATTAGCAGTAATGAAATGTTTGAAGATATCAAATATTTCGATCGATCTTTTAAAGATATTAAATGATTCACATGACTTTAATCTAACGCTATAACATTTATCTTAGTGGTCCATGATTATATATGAACGATCATTTTCCACTACTTTATTCTAATAAATTTATCGGCTAAAAGTTTTGTGACATCAATATAAGACTTTAGTGAGGTTTGTTAATAATGGTCATTTCCGTTGGCAGAGTAGAAAATTTAACAGCATGAAGATTTCGAACGGTACAAATTGGACTACAAGGCAATAACATAGATCTGAAATCCCTTCGATGCTACATATCGTAACTAATATTATTGCTAAACCACCATTCAAAATTTTAACGTACCTAAAGTCTACTCCACAACTAAAGGTCACACAAGAACTATGAAAACAAAAGTTCATTGTTAAAGTGTATTTTCTACTTATTAATGGGTTCTTCCTAGAAAACTCATTACTTCCGTTATTACACTCAGAAATTGCATAGAAACCTTTGTTTTGTTTTCTAGAAAATTCTATATATTTTTCTCTTTGCTGATGTTCATATATTTTCGATTGTTACCTTTATCTTCCTATCTATTTCTAGAAAGAATTATGATGTTTTCTTGAGTTTTAGATGTTAAGATACATGCAATAACTTTATATATCAACTATTAAGTTAAATAAAACAGAGAAAAAGATGAAAATATACCTGTAAAATTTCAGATTGCACTATAATATAACTTGTTTTGAAGCTTTCAGCAATCGTCTACACTCTCTAGTGAACACTAGAGTTTGGGAAAAAAATGGGGGAAATGAATATAGGTGCGACGGGTTAACATATTGAATTTAATCTCCAAATAAAATTGGCTTAATTATGGAGTTGGTCATCAGAATATCAGATTAATTAATATTTTTAAGATACTTACAAATTGGTCACCAAAATTGATTTAAGAAGATTGGGTTAAACATAAATGAACATAACCGAACGAACATAAACGAACATAAACGAACGTTCACGAACGTAAATGAACGAACGAGACCTAGGTTCATGTTCGTTCATTTAATTAAGCGAACACAAAATCTTGTTCATGTTCGTTCATTTAATAAATAAACGCATATAAATGAACTTCCCGCCGCACAGTTCACAAACGGTTCGCTGAACGTTCAGTTCATTTACAGGCATACCGACGTTAACGAGATAATCAAGGAAAAATGCAGAAAAAAAAAAACAAAGAACAATTCAATAAAATTCCGAAACCTTAATGGAAACTAAATTGGATTTTCCCGATAAATCATACAGAACAGCTCCAACGTTCTGTTTCAGAATGCTAATTATTTATTTCTAAATAATTTAAGGGTAAAGTACATAAATGGTCCCCTATCTATAAGATTCTACTTTATAGAGTCCATCGACTATTAGAAGTTACAAAATGGTTCCTTGACTATATGGGGTTGTTTTGTTGAGTCCCTTGACTATTAAAATTTTTAAATTGGTCACTTAACTATTCATTATGTTTCAAACTCGTCATTTTTCGTTAAAAAATTAACGACAACATGAACTGGACTTTAACCTATTGACTGAGATATAATAAAATCTGATATCATAATCTCCAACGACTATCATATCTCAGTCAACATGCTAACTTCAAACTCAGGCGATTGTTAATTTTTTAATAAAAATGACGAGTTTAAAACATAATGAATACTAAGGTGACCATTTTGTAAATTTTAATAATCGGGAGACTCAACAAAGTAATATCCTATGGCTGGGAGGCCATGTGTGTACTTTACCCATAACTTAAATATAATAAAATTAAATCAGAAAATATTTAATATGAATGATTGTATAATATAAGATATTGTCTTTAAAATTTTGATACGACTCTTTTTAACTTGGTGTGTAAAAGCATCAGCGTTTAAGAACATATATTTAGGGTAAAAAAGGTAGTGTTTAGAAGTATTAAGGGTAAATTATACATTTAATACATAAACTATCAGTTTTAATCCGTTTTAGTACTTAAACTTTTATTCTTTCCCCAAAATTAATAGTTTAGGTATTTTTTTTATTAATTTAGGGTAAGTAGAAGGTAGTATATGTTTAAGATAACTTTCAACCATTTCAAATTGAACACTTACACATATGGTATTCCTGGTGCTCGAATATTGGGATCTCAATGAATAATAACAATTCATTTACCACTAAGATCGCTTGGTTCGTGCGATAGTTTATATACTAAATATGTAATTTACCCAACTGAACAACATATTATATAGTATACATCTACGACGCAAATGGAAAATATCTTAAATATCATGAGAGAATGTGGGTACAATATTGTTCTCCATCCCAAAAGAATTCACTGGTGTCTGAATTTGCTACTGTTACTATTACTTATTTGTGACTGCTCTTGAATGAAGTCTAAACGAAAATATCAGAGACGGAATTAGGATTGAACTATGAGGAGAACAAATTGTTTAATTTTAAAATAAATACGGTTTAAAAAGTAATTAAACTATAACAAAATAAGATATTAAGGGTTTAATTTCATTAATTTTAAAATTTAAAGATCTTAGAAATAATTAAACCAGATAAATTTGGGATCAAAATTTAATTTCATTAATTCTAAAATTGATATAGTTCTAAAAAATAATTATACCAACAAAACTGATCTCTGATATTGGGATCCTTAAATGTCGGATATCCAAGATGCAATTTGGGTTTTGATTTCATTTGATCTTTACGTTTATGATATTTTTGAGATATAGTATATTGACAAATGAAGCATTTATTTATTTATTTTTTTATAATTATCAATTGCCGATCTACTAATCAACTAATTTAGACTGAATACTGTAGAGACGAGAACGACTCTCCAAACTCAGTACTCACGAATACCAAGATTCAAACCTCTTTAAGAAATATAGTGTCACTGAAATATTTATTTTTAATTAAGCTTGCCATTTATTATATAAATTTGCAAGAAACATTTCAAACCATTTTCATCATACATAAGAACACATTAAATCTGAATTTTGATATACATTTTCATCATACATGCAACCAACCGTGATATAACGGTGACCAAAACTAAGGGATTAATCTGAATTTTGATAAGTGGTTAACCATTTTATCATTTTATCATATATAAGAACACATTAAATCAAACATTAATAAAAAAAACCTGATTTTAAACTAAAAAAAAATAATATACTTCATAATCTATATATTTTTATAAACTTAAAAATAAGATTTCTAAAAATATATATCTTTCTATTATTATAAATTTTATAAAATCTTCAAACTTTCATATTGTGAATTGTTTAAAAAAAAATGGTCAGCCACGTACTAACCTGTAACTGAACAATTAATAACATTTAACTGCTAGTGATTAACTATATCTTAATGATTAGGTTAGGATTAACAAAATTTAATAATTCTTATAATGGTAACCGACTGTTTAAGCTAAACTATACGGTTAATTGACCACAAACACCCCAAAACGATGATAAAGTAATAAAAACTACATTGATTCAGTGTCAATCAAGAGTTGAAGATGATGATCGCTCAAGTAAAATGGCGAAAATAGATGATGGTCGATGTAAAGAGGTAAACTTTCATAAACACAACATATGACTTCAATATCAACAAACAGTAGTACATGTCGGCAAAAAATCGACCACATCACCTTGTTATTTCTATTGTTTAATAGACGAATGATCAAAACAAGAGTAATATTAAAGTTGAATGCTAAAATTTTTAAAAAATGAACTTCAATGACCAGAATAGTAGTGAGTGATGAAATTTGTAATCTGTCCTAAAAAACAAACTTTTCCATTCAAAACCTCATAACTGTGACTAAAACAATTTAAAATACCACACATCCACAATTTATTTGGAATTTAACAGATATCACACATCCACAATTTATTTGAGAAGAAATTTTCACCTAAGTGTATAGAACTTGCAAACATAATTCATGCAGGTATATAATAAGAATGTTCATTGCATAAAAAGTTCCAGTACTTGTCGGACCAACCTTAGTGGATTTGATTGCTGTCTTCACATTAGCCTGGATCCAACGGTAAGATGCAAAACCATGTTCCAGGCACCACATAATAACATCAAATTCTACACATCACACACAGAAATAATGGTAAATTGCTTAACATCAAAGCGTGCATGAATTTCAACAGTGAGCTAATACTGCCATAATGATCAAATTTGGATTGAGCCAATGCTTTTGGCCAAACATACCTTTTGGACCAGCCCTGGGTCTGTTTCGCCTCTACTGATCTCAGTTTACATCAGCAGCCTTGGAACTACCATTCATTTTAGCACGTTTAGCTTCCGCATCTTTTACAGCTGCCTTGATTGCATCTTCTGCAAGCATACTGCAGTGAAGCTTAACGGGTGGAAGTGAAAGATGTTTCGCGATCTCACTGCAGTTTTACATACAACATCGTGACAAATTTGCAGTCAGGCATGAATACATTTGATTGAAAGGAAAATTTATAAGAATAGATAAATGAATTGAACCATTGGTACCAAAAAGATGAACAAAGACAGGTACACCCAGTGGAGACATTCAATTTTGTCCGAAGACATTTAAATTGAACTCAAGATAGTCAAGGGTCACATACATTGCAGCATGGATTGGTGAGATCTGTATGGAGTCAAAAGGTGGATTTTGTTCCTTGAGCTCGAAATTATGTTGTATGATGAATTTGTAAATTTCCAATTTAGAAGAATGGTCTACGAATTGAGCCGCACGATGGATGTAAATCGAATTTCTTAATTTTTGGCTTTGTTTAAAAATCGATTTCAAGATATTAAATACCCCAACTTAAATGTCCACAATACAAACACAACACAAATCTTTGCAAACGAGCCCAACAAATCCAAAATTTTAGGGTAACCAAAAATAACCCTAAACAATTTATTGAGTCGCCATCAATGTCTCTCCCTTTCCAACTTTCACGTGCAATTTTTGAAGAGACATTTAATTGTTTTGCACGATGCTCTAGGTGCTATAATGCACATGCCACGTCAGCAAAGCCAGAGGAATCAAAGAGATCGGGGTCGTCCATCGTTTTTTCAAATATTCGGATATCCGAAAAACCGGATATCCGATTTTTCCGGATCGAATATGGATCGCAATTTTAATGATCCGAAATTTTGGATCAGATAATATCTGATATCCAAAAATGCACACCCCTAACAGCTGGTACATGATCCCTGCTTCCCAACAATAAACAAAGGGAATAGACCAGTTGGCTAAACATGAAAGCTATGCATTAGCTTATGTATACTCTATGTGATCAACTTAAAACTTAATTTGGATGTTCTTACATTACCTATTTAGACAATCATATAATTACAATTTATATTGATCCCGTTGATAGTTAAAATCATAATCTGAGGATCAACTAGACAAAAGGCTCAATAGAAAAAAGTTAGACAAGGATTTAACCTTTATGCTCAGAGAGAATAAAGAATTGATTGCCACCCTTGGCCATCTACACTAGAGATTAAAGAATACCCTAGAATTACTAAAATAAACACACAGTTAACAAGCATATTAAAAAAAATTCATACTATAGTTACAAGTAATGAATGCCTTCCCTTACCGTACGAAGATAAGGTTAAATGAAAGACCGGCCAAAAATTGTAAGAAAGGAAGTAAAAAGGATGGGAGAAAGAAAACTATTTACCCACAGCATCCTTTATTTCAAGTACCATGTTTAAATTAAATATAAAAAAAGGTACCAAAGATAAGGTTAATTGAAAGTTTAGGTACAAAAATGAACCAAAACTTATAGTTTAGGTACTAAACGCATGGTTTACCCTAAAAAACAACAGAATGCATGAAAAAATTAATTAGTAGTCAACAAATTCCACTTAATAAGGCTTCAAAGATCAGAAACAGAAAAGAAATACCACAAACCATCCTTGGAGAAGATAAGAATTAAGTTCATATAAAAATAAAGTTTGAGATAAGGACTCACGTGTTTTTAATGGTAAGCACTTCGTCCATGCTTTTTCCTTTCACCCATTCAGTAGCTGCAAAACGAAAAGGCCCCAAATTACCACATATCTCCTCCACAAAAATTGAAGCCATTTTGAAATAAACTCATCAGTACAAAATATTGAATAACATTAATAGAACAGATTAAAAGTTTCAACATTACTTAAAAAAATACACATTTGTTCAGTTGGATTTTTATAGCTGATTTTCTTCTTTGCAAAACCAACTTCATATAACAAATTAACAACAATTTAACATATTAGTTCCATATTAAAGTAAAATTATGCATCTTCTTCATAAAAAGAGCAACAAAAAAAAGTTTTAAGTATTTGCTTTTGTATAAATACTATTTTTTTTCTCTTTTGTCTTGGATGGGAAGCAAAATCTAGTCTAAAAAAAACTATCTGTTCTTTTTCTTCTTCCTTCCTTCCTTTGGTGAATTTCCACCGAAATCAGACATAATTCAATCACACCGCAAATGAAATCTTAAATTTGGATTTGGAGTTTAACTTGATACAAGAAAACAAAAATAACCTAAATGAATAAATAATACAGCACCGATTAAAACAAATTACACCCATATATCCCACCCATAATTATCAAAAGAAATATAAAGTTGCATACCGACAGAAGAAGATGCAATAGCCGACCCACAACCAAAGGTTTTAAAGCAAGCATCGACGATTTTCCCTGATTCCTCGTCAATTTTGATTTGCAGCTTCATAACATCGCCACATGCCGGAGCACCGACCAAGCCGGTTCCGACGTTGGGATCGTTCTTATCGAAGGAGCCGACATTACGAGGGTTATTGTAGTGATCGATGACATTCTCGTGGTAAAGACGCGGAAGAATCTGAAGGGGACGCGATGGGACTTCCCGTGACGCTGTTCCGAGCAGCCTACTCGCCACCAGTCTCAGCATTTTCGCAGTCGATTTTGCAGGGAAAAAGCTACTTTGGGTTGAGCTAGGGTTTGGATTTGCGAACTTTGGAATCGTATGCTGATGATGATAAATATAGGGTGAAGGACAGATGCTGGTTTTCCAGTGAAACACGTCAGAATTTATTTGTATAAACTAATCGATTTTGTATGTAAAGTTAAGAGATTTCTTGTTATGTTTTAATATATCAAATTCGAATATTATATATATAAGATATAAATATTTATTGTTAAATAGTTTAAAGTTGAACATATATTATTTTATATTTATTTTATATATAAAAAATGTAAATAATTATATTTAAAGTAGTAGGACAATGAAAGATTTTTTTTAAAAAATAAAATTAATTAATAATTATTATTTGATTGATTTAAATTAAATAAATAAAAAATTTGAATTAATTTATAATATATGTCATATTATAAATTAATATGCACTATTATTTATTTATATATTCTAAATTTTGAAGAACATCAAGTATAATTAATCCTATTTTGGAATTGAGTTTTAATTAGAAGTTTTTAATTTATATCTTTTTTTATCTATAATTTTATTTTACGTTAAGGGATTAAATTTAAAAAAAATTAAGTATCCTTTGGTATCAAAGACCAAACATATTATGTCAAGAGATCAAACTAAAAAAAACTTTTACATCCAACGAACGGGCAATAACAGATGAAAAATTATATCCAATATCTAAGACATGAAGATTGACATGAAACTTCTACAAAAGAACTTGAACCTAAAAAAGCATGCACAAGAATATATGATGATTCTTATGAAGTGTCAATCTACAGATATTTAATAAAAATAAATTTAATAATAAAAATTAATTCTCTTTAGAAATGATAGCTCTTTTCAAAACTGTACAAGAGAATGTATAACACCAACAAAATACTATGACAAAAAACTTCTGAAAGCCTTAAGGCAACAAGTGGTAAAAAAATTAAAATTACTTATAAAAAAAAAAATAAAAAATTAAATATAAAATGTTTTTTCATTGGTAAAATATCTTTTTACACACACTCATTACAAGAAAGTTTAACACCACAAAATTTACTATGAAAAACCAAAAATAAGAAATCTTAATTTACTAAAATCTTTATCTATCCATAATAAACATATAAATAACCTAATTAACCATACACAAACAAATATCTTTTCTAAAACAATTACAAAATAGACAACTTTAAATAGAATAAACCATATAAAGGAAGAGATAAAATCAACTATATATTCAAATATTTTCAATGCCTTTTGAAATAGAAAGAAACGTGCAGTAACATTACATTATGAAAATGACTTTGATGAAAGACAAATTCCTACGAAAACAAGATCAATTCAAATAAATAAAGAGATAAAAGAATTTTAAGAGAAAGACATACAAGATTTTCTCAACAAAAATTTGATTAGAAAAAGTAATTCTCTTTAAAGTTGTTCAAGTTTTTATGTTATAAAAAATGCATAACTAGTAAGAGGAACACCAAGATTAGTTATTAATTATAAACCTGTTAATCAAGCATTAAAATGGATTTGATATCTAATTCTTAATAAAAAAAAAGACTTGTTACAAAAACTCCGTAATGCCAATATATTTTTAAAATTTGATATGAAATCAAGATTCTGACATATTCAAATCAAAGAAGAAGAAAGATATAAGACAACTTTTACAGTTCCATTTCGAAATATAAATGGAATGTAATGTCGTTTAGTTTAAAAAATACTCCTTTTGAATTTCAAAGAATTATGAATGACATTTTTAGTTTCTTATAATATTCTGGGGCGTTATTTTTTTTTCTTTCTTTCTTTTGGCTTTATGGGGTAACATAGTTTTTGAAAATAATTAGTTATCTCTAATGTCAAATTGACAACAAAATGATCCCGATTCTTTTTTATAAATGTATATCTTTCTCTTTTAAGTTATTTTTATAATTTTAAATCTTGGCATACTTTTAATCTTTTTTTAGATGAAGCTAATTAATTCACCATATGTAAGTTATTCATATGAGATTACTCCTTTATAATTTTTCTCTATTTTGATTTCTAACTTTTTCTTCTAAATGATTAAGTGTTGTTAAAAAAATTCTTTCTAAAAGGGTTGTTGATTATTAGATCTTTGTATCACTCTAGCCAATAAATGTACTTATACCATTTAAAATCTGTTAATTTGTTTACATTTTAAGTTTGATAATAATTCTGAATTTCTAACTTTAAGGTGAGACGAGTCGCCTATGAAATGTTTGGAGATAGAAAAAATTAAATTTACAATTGCATCTTGAATTTCTCTTCCTTGATCATATTTTTTAATGGCTTTTAATATTTCTTTATGTTGTTCTTTAGTGAGAGAATGATCCTACTGTCCTTTTAACTGACCAGTGAGTCCAACAACTAAAAAATTTGCTATAACTTGATCATTAATTAAATCATTTTGGTTATGTGTTTTATAAACACTGAAACCATTGTCATTTGTTGTAATAAACTAAGAATATTATATTCAGACATACCATCTATGTTTCATTCATATATAGTATTAGTATTTTATTTATTTTGGAAAACTGGGTTTTCTTCAATATTGAAGTCTGGTGTAGTTATTTTTTATAATAAAATTTTTTAGGTTCTCTCCAATTCATCTTATTAATTTGGTTATCTTCATAATGTTCTTAATCTGATTGAGAATTTTGGTTTAAAGTGTTTGTTAAGTATTGGGTTGGTTTGGGAGTGTCATAAGCTCTTAGTTCGGATTCCAAGGCATTGAGCCTATCTTGTATTTCTGTTAAAAATATTTTTTTGAAAATTTTTAGGAATTTCATAGGGTGTAAATATTGGTTCTATTGACTCTTCTTTAATATTTTCTTTTGTTGTTTGTCTTTTGAGGTATGATTCAACAAGATTTCAATATAGTCTAATTATTTTCCTATGGAGTGAAGGCTAAGATTTGTATAATTATTATGTTCAACAATTATCTTAATATATTTTCATGAAATTTGTTCGCCAGCATCAAGACTTCTCATTTTTAAAAGACATGCTCTTATTTCAGTATTTTTATTGGTATATTAGATCTCTGTTAAAGGAGGATGTTGAGATTCAATGTTTCCTTTATTAGTTAGTCATTTAGTACAATTTTTATTGAATTAACAGATTCTAAAAAATATTCTTCAAACCATTTAACGAATTCTATGTGAACTTTATGAGTATTCATAAACTCATAATACTCTTGAGGAATCTTGTCCTTTTCACTATTAAAATTTTTAAATTATTTTCTCTTAATTGTTTGTTTTTATTGGAATATAAATGTCTTCCACACTGTTCTTTATTGATTTCAAAAGGCTTCTGTGGAGCATATATCTCTGAATCTTAATCTATTTTTGCATTATTAGTCATTAAAGAGTATATTGGTGACATGACAGGTGAATTTTGAGGGTTTTTTAGTTGCCTAACATTTGAGGAGCTTTTTGTCTGCCTAGTATAGATAGGTTGAGCTATTTTGAGAAATTATATATTTCTTATAAATTGATTCTAAATGAAGTAGGTATAGAAAATAAAAAAGCTCTAGCTATCCTAAAATCATGGTGTTGGTTTTTCATAAATGAGATTGGAACAGAAGAGACAGATGTTCTAGCTGTTCTAAAATTTTGTTGTTGGGTATCTATAATTGATTCTTCTTCTATATTTAACTTTTGGAATTTTGAGTTTAAACTTGCTATATCAAAAGAATATGTTGTAGGTATTCTATTTGACAGTGTTGTCTTGATGTTGAGAGATTTCTCTTAGGAAATTATTTCTAATAGGGACATGTTCTACAGGGTCTGTAACGCCTTCTAATTTTTATCTTTCAAAAAATTAATTTCATGCTAATGAATAGTTTGTCATTACTGTATGGGCTCTTGTAGTGTTAGTTTCTATTAGAGGGTTGTTTATCCTTTTGGGCTTTGAAGTAAAGTCTTGGTATTGACTACATAATACATAGATTTAAAATGCAACTTATAAACTAAAGTTAAAACTTCAGAGGAAGCATTTTTTTAATTGTGGGTATGGATTTGAAGACCTAATGATTATAATATGTTCTTATCAGTCATAGATATCATAAAATTTGAATAACTATCGTAACCGGTTTTCGCTCGGACACGAAATTTTACTTGGCAGGAAAAGTGATGTGAATAAATGGTTTTTAAAATGTTTTGGGAGTCGCCATCGGCCTTTTGGGTCATGTAGGTCTAATACCTAAAAATTATCTTTTAAAAGAGTTTTTAAGAAAACATTAGTTAAAAGATAAACTGGTTTGCGTTTTAACCAAAAATTCGTTCTTTTTAATAATAAAAAGGGATTCATGGTCGATTACGTTTGGGGAAAGATTAGCACCCCACAACGCCCAAAATTGGTACTCATTAATTATAAATTGTCTCTATTATTGGAAATTTAAAAATTTAAAAATATATTTAATTCATAATCCTGTTATTTCAAATTTATTAATATAATTTTAAGAAAATATATTAATATATATATATATATTATTTTTATAAATGAGATATTTATTTAATTAGAGATATCAGAAAAAGACTTCTAGGTGCTTTAAGACAGTCAATTTCTTAATATTAAAAATAAATAAATATTAATAAAAATTTCTATAAAAATAATTAAAATTAATATATATAATTTATAAGAATATGATATTTATTTATTTAAAAATATCAGAAAATGACTTCTAGGTGCTTTAAGACAACCCATTTCTTTAATATTAAAAAATAAATAAATATTATTATTTAAACAAATATATATATATATATATATTTATATAAAATAATAATTAGAGTAATAATTTAAACATATCAAAAACAAAAATAAAATTGTAAATAAATAATAATCAAAAGAAATTAAAAACTGTAGGATCTATTCATAAATATATAAGCTTAAAATGTAAAAATAATAAAACTCATGGTTAAAATTAAAATTATATAAAACTTAATGATCAAATTATAAAATATAAGCAATTAATAGACATAATTAGAATTATCATAAAATATAAATACTAATAGTGTAATTAGCCCTTAATTATTTAATCGATGATT